CATACCTGTCATTTCCGGATATGAAGGTAATGCAGCGGTCACAAGCTCATGAAGGGTACAACGCGCCCCAAAAAACGAAAAAAAAGTGGTAACCTTGATGACCTTTTTATCTGGAAACGAAAGTTATCGAACGTTGTGCCCTTCCCTCCAGGCGCACCGTGCACACTCCCCGGAAGAAATGTGGGCGAGATGCGCCTTCCATGGGGACCTGCAGTCGCTCAACCTGCGTGCGGGTGTAGAGCACACGGCGTCAGCAATCAAGAGTTCGAAAGGCTCACGAAATGTCCGGAATGCTGCCACCCTTTGCTTCAAATGCTGGAGTAAAGGAGTGCTTGAAACAGGCACAAATTTGGAGGGCACCAAATGCATCCACACTGAAAAAGTAGACAACAGTTGGAAGAACATTCAAGGTGCAACTAGCATAAGCGATACAAATGGACAAAGATGGCATACCGGACATCAAGAATACATGCAAAATCGGGTGCACAATGCTATTACAACCATTACAAACAAGATTGGCACCTGTACAAATGATTGAGGGTCCTCTGAGGAAGAATGCCCGGCTCCCACAACGTGCTCCTTGTCTCCCTGGCCTGCCACACACCACAGGGCGTTGGTGCCTGCCAGTGGAGCATTGATTCATGCTTAACGGCACAAATCGGAAGTGCACACATACAGCAAAGCCCGAGATATGCAAAACAGTACGTCAATCATATTGCGAGGTCTCTGTTCTGTGGCTGAGGGCGTTGCAGGAGACCATCATATGGTTTTTGGTGAAGCAGCATGAGTGATCACCTATGTGCATGGTGTGTGTGCGAGTAGAAAATAATGTGGGTGAGAGCGAGTGAGTCAATGGCACATGGTTTGCTCACCTGAACCATACATAGATTCAGGCTCAAACACAGCTTCACAGCCAGCTTCCTCCAGTTTCCTGTGATCCCCACACTGCAGTTGCGACAGCACACATCATGCCTCCTGGGTGTTGCCAAAAAATTGAGCATCGAACCCACGGCACACCACTTGTAGTTGTCTTGGGTTTCTTGCACATGTTGTGCACTCTCGACTCGACTATTGCAATTTTTCAGCGCACTCACCAGGTCCCTTGGGTACACATCGAAGTCTTCACCTGCAGCGAACTGGTTCACAGCAGAGATCTTTCTTACTTGCGTGTCACTCTATGAAATGCCCACATGCGATCAAGCACACAAGATACGAATGAACTGTTGTGAAGAAAGGCAAGGCAAAGATTGTCAGGGCAGTTGGTTGCAACGCACCTGTGTGGGGTTGACATAAATCGAAGCGACGACAATGTCGGCTTGCTCCCTGCGACAAGTAGGGAAAACCAACTACCTGAATAGGCTGTTCATTGTTTCACACCACACGCGCACCCTTGCAACAATGAAGTAGTGTGTGCACAGATTCGGGGCAGCAAAAAACATGAATCCACCAGGCCCATGGGCAGACCATTGCAGATTGCCAGTACAGAATGGAACAATACTTTGAATAAGGGGCCACCAAAAATACACAAGGTTGCACATCATTCAACGGGCTCCTGCCTTTCAGCAAGGATTATGAAGTGAGACTCTTTTCCAGGCCGCAAAAGATGGTGAAGAGGTTTGCAAGCGTGACCATAATAAGAGAGTACACTGAACACACAACTATACCAGAAATTGAATTGCCTGAATTCATTGTAATGGAAGCAATGCGAGCACACCTGGAGTGCCCACCTTGCAAGCTTCACGAGAGACAGATGACCATCGTGCAGGTACCCCTGTTTCAACATTGGTGGGGAATGAGCAAGAAGGCATGAATGCCTAAAAGGCCACCAATCCACCCGGTGATCCCGCAACTTGTCCCCTAGCGGATCTCAGTGTCCATAACAGAGTGTTTCGATCAGTACACCGAGTTGCTAATCCCGCCGTCCCCATGTGGGTCCGGGTCGGTTTTATACGTTTGGGAAAACAGAACGGCAAACTCGGCAGACGGCTCGACAAGTGGCCTCTTCCCTGAAAGGTACCGGGGATGGTGCTATGACCGGCGTCACCTTGTCTGTGCCAGGCAACAGTTTGTCATGTTTGGCAATTGCGGTGAAACGAATTGGCGCCAATAAAGGGGCAATTCGACTTCAGCAGCACCCCGCCGCCCCCGCTGGAACCCCAGGCGGCGCGTTAAGTGTTTACCATGGTGGGAACAAAGCCCACGCGCTTGCCATCCCTCTTGGCTGAGCGACTGAACTCGAGCATCTCCGATGCCTTTTTGAAGATGCGCATTTTGGCAGTCCAGTTCCAAGCAAAAAATTTTGCCCGGCTAGGGTCTCTAAATAAACAATTGTCCCCGAGATCGAACGGCGTTGATCAAGCAGTTCGTGGAGTCGCTGCACCCCCGACCGCAGCGCAGGATGGGCTACTGAACGCGCCTCGTTGCTGCAGTTGGGACAGTCCGATCGAGTGGCTTCATGCAGCTTCCCTAGTGCACTGGGTTGGAGTTCAGAGCACTCAAGTACTGGCGCTACGAGGATCTACCAGAGGCGACAAGTATTTGCGAAAACCGACTGGCCGCTCCACAGGTGAAAGCTTACACTTTTCCTCTATCCGGAATTAATTGTCCCCTATGGGTTTGGCGCCCTCCTTCTCCATCGCCATCATGGAAGCTTCGGTTTTCAATGAAACTTCTTCCAAAGCTGTGCATATGAGTTTGGAGCATACGGACAACAAATCAAGTCAATCAGTAAGAATTGCGGATTTGGCATCAGTTTGTGTCAAGGGTCTTTTACCAAGCAAAGCTCGAGCTTCTGGTTCAAAAACGACCAAAACTTGCCTTTCGTCCAAAGCTCAAAAAAGGGCGGGTCTCATTGTTTCTTCTTGGAAATTGCTATTTAAGGGCTTGGGGGTTCAATCTTTCCGTTTTTTAGCCCCTTTTGTGATTTTGAGGCCATTCTTTTAATGAAATTTGTCTCTCAAACAAAGGGCAGTACATTCTGGGCGGAGGGAGTTTAAGTGTTGCATAATAATGCAACACATGTATGCGTTTCAAACCATTCTTGTAATGAAATTTGCCTCTGAAATAGAGGGCAGTTTACTCCAGACGGAGGAAGTATAAGTGTTGCATAATAATGCAACGCATGTATGCGTTTCAAAGGCACAGACGAAAATGTCCCGAACAGGATAAAAAACAAAAGAAACATGACAGACCACTACTAATATGCCTGTGCTGGGCCATACACTTTTCAGCATTGCTGTTTTGTTGCTGTGTATTTTATGTAGCCATGAGCCAAGATTCTCCAGGAAAAACAAGGTGCCGCGGCAGCCAGTGATGGTCTGCGACCCAAGACCATGGCGGTGATGTAAAGTCGCGGGGAGGGCATAGCATCATTCAGGCTCAAACAGCGCCAGTACAGGATTGGTGTATGCCCCGAGTATGCTCCGCACATCGGCGGGAATAGAATATGTCAAAGGCACACATCGGAACGAGCGGTTCATAGGTCGACCTGTTGCGCATCAAGACCTTAGTTGGAGGCAACACGGCAGTATACACTGACCAATGCAGGATGCACCAATAACTGCTTCTTAGGGTGTCCCCAAAGTACGCCGTGTAGCGCCCTTTGCGTCGAGCCAGAAGCGATATTACACTTCGGTGACGTAGCCGCACACTGTCGGCATGAGTCACTGCTAGCGCACTGCGTGTGTTGAAATTTTAGTTCAATTTTCCATTGCTGCGAGTTACCCAGTGCGGCCGAGACTGGTATCGAGATGTTGCCGTCACGAAGGCGCACACGGATGAGGGTCGCAATGTTTGTGAGCACTTTGATTAATGCGAGTCCAAAGACGGCATGTTGATCAACCAGTCATGGAGTTATGAGTTTACAATGCACGCCGTAAAGAAGCAGTATCCTGACGCAAAGCGCACATAGGGAAGAGCGCTGGTTGGGGGCCATGACAGTGAAGTTGACATGACCAGGCAGGCGACGGGTGGCTGGGGAAAACTGAAGCAGAAGGACCACTTCGCCAGTTATTGGTAAATGTGTGAACGTACAGATTTCAGATATTGCCATGCGAATCCATGGCAGGCGCCTCGGCCTTCCGCGCATTACCACATTTGAGCGTGGTGCGAAGCCGCCTGACGATGTCCTTGAGATTTGGATGTGGCTACGAGTGATGATAGCTTTGAACTTGCGAATCTGTGGACGGAAAGGCGACCGGAAAATCGGCGGTGCCCTTCTGGAGCTTATCGCAAATGGAGCCAGTTGGGTGCATAAGGCTAAATAAACCACCACACAGGCAGCTTTACAGATGTTCATGTTTGGGCAACATATCGCTCTCTGCTTCTTGTATAAGAAGCTTCTCGCAGAAATCGCTCAAGCGCCCTGCGGCCGGTGCCCGCACCTCGCTGCCTTGTTGGGCGTTTCTCCTGTTGCACTTGGAGACACCTACATCATTTCGGCTTTAGGGAACCCAGCCCTCCAATGCCTCGCACAGCGAACGGATGCCCACTTTATGGCATGTTCCATTTCTGCAGCTAACACAGTAGTGGTTGCAGGGCGCATGGGATGCTTCGCCATTGGGCTGCGCAAACTGAGCACCCCGGTCTTGCAAGTCCGGTCTTGCAAATCAAGCGTTGGCGAACTTGACCAGTGTGTTGCAACACCGGCGCCACACCGCAGTGGCGCAATACCAAATCTGCCTGAGCCACAGTCCCTTGCTCCAACTCTGCAAAGAGGTACCCACCATTCCAGCATCCCGACAATCTGGCCATGGCAACCCACACCGATTGGGCAATACCGTGGTACTACCGTGCCACTCTTCCGGGCAAGGCGCCATGATGCTGGCTCCAGTAAGGGTCGGACTGTCCCATTCCTTCACTGGCTTGAGTATAGTTCAAGGGGATGCGCCTGCGCTGAGAGGGACGCCCCTACTGTTCGTGAGCTTCCATGAAATTTCATGAGGTTGTTGTGGGAGGTGTGAAGCAGATCCCTGGCCACCCAGATCCCAGCGAAATGCTGCTCAAAGTTGCCAGAGCCTACACAGATGCGGGCTTGGGGTGGAGGCAGCGCCCGCAAAAGAACTGATTCGCCATGGACTTAAAAAGATGAAGAACAACTCAAGACTGTCACTGTCCAGGCGTTGAGGCTGGACATTCAAGAGCAAATGGTGGATCCATGGCATCTGAGACTGAAACAGCCTGAACCTCACAAAGCGCATGGCCCCCGTCCCCACCCCCGACATCCACACATACACATCCCACCCACATGAAGCTCTCAGCTGCAGCACATGGCAGCATGCAACCTGCCCCTGCAAATCACCACATAGCCTTGTCGTTCTGTTGCCAATGTGGCCTTCGTACTTTGTGATACAACAGAACCCTCGTACAACCCTCGTACAACAGAACCCTCCACAACTGTGAGCACAAACCTTCTCATAAAGCTCGACATGGAAACAAGTAGTATGCCACAAAACATTCCTAGACTGAAGGAAAGGCAAGTAACTGTTGTCACACTGCAGATATTCACTCACATCGCCAGTCTGCCCACAACACAAGCTGAAATCTGCGATCTCTAGCAGCCTTCTGCAATCCCAATGCCTCGCACTGGCCATGCGCCTCCTCTGTGCGACTGCTGCCAGCCTTGATTTGCCCACAGCAACATTGCTCTCAGTGCCCAATGTCATCTCCATCACGATGGCCACACCAACGCCAACTGGCCTTGAGCTGCTGCACACCCCCCTCTCATGATGCTGCTTGCCCCGGGACTTGGCACCAGGATGTTGATAGTGCTGCCAGTGCTCATGTTCCAGGTGAAAGGCCAGCTGTGCCTGAATTAGCTTGTGGGCCCAGCTCGGGCTGGGGCGGTGCAGTGTATGAAGGCGGGGGAGCTAAATTGTCCACACGTGGCCCTGGGTCAGCCATTGTCTCATAGCCAGCCTCAGCTGTTCAGGTAAAGCACAGGATCGTGAGGATGGTGTGGTGAATGACTTGGGATGAAACAGTGAGAATGCTCAACAGTTAGCTGCTGCTTCATGCCATATCCTGTGGGTGGAAAACACATGAGCCAAGACCATTCCGTTGAAAGCTTGCCACAAATGTGTTGGGTGCACAAACCTTCACACCACATGTTTGCTGCCAGTTTTGGAAAAATGCTGCCAGCACCTTTTGTTTACCCATTTGACGACCCCCATCAGAGCTGAAATCTTGCCAGACGAGCCTGATTCCAACTGGAAAACTTCCACAAGGAGAGTTGCAGGTGAAAATGCACCAAAACAAGGGATCCAGGGAAGAGGCTCCAACACGTCCAACACAGATCATTTGGTTAGTTGATTTACGGATGTTGAGTGAGTTCAACTATTGTAAGCATGCACTGCAGCGAGTGGCACCAAGTAAATCTGCTATGCAAGAGGGCACAAAAGCACCCATGTGTGGCATGCTGTGGGACGTGATGAGAGCACAGCATCTGAATATCTGGAAACGAATCTTCCCACCTGCAGATGCAGAATTGTAGATCTGGTAGCCAAAATAGCCGCCGCCGAGCTGTCAAGTAGAGAACACAGAGATTCACAATTTGAACCAAACTCCGACTCAACAGCCACCGACATTTTGCGTCACCCCAAATCATACCTTTGCGATCATCTCCAGCAACCTCAGAAACACAAAAAGGCCAAACCATTCTGTGCCATGGTGTTTGTGCACGTGCACCATCTGCCCGACGTCCAAAAACGCTGTGAGTGGAGCGAAGACCACATACTGCAAGAAAGAGTATCCAATCAGTGCCATGTTCTTTTACCAAACAATAGTCTCGTTGGTAGTTTAGATACCCTACCCCATAACCAAAATGTCAAAATGATTGCAGCAGAATGACTGCAAAAAAGTGAATGGGTCCGTGTGAATAGACCTTCAGCCCGGAGGGCCCCTCAAAAGCCCAAAGGGAGGCATCGCTGCCTACCATCAGGGGTTGAGGTCTTGGGGTTTGGATGCATCCAGAGATTTTTTTAATTCACCAGCGCAGTCACAGATTCCACAACGTTGGCAGTACAGCCATACCGCTGGGACACAACCCGTTCCCAGCGTCGATGCTCCATGCCGTCCAAGCAGCGACACGACACGACATCCGCAGGAGCAACGGCACGGGGCAGGCAGACACTGCTGGCTCCGTTGGGCGGATGATGACCGAGCTCAAACATCACAGCCTCCAGGCTGCGGACGCACTTGCAGAGCGGGGGCGGCCAGCGGGGACGACACATTTCCCCCCAATGATGCATCAGATCAACAGCAGGAGAAGGGCGCGGCACTCCAGATCCCCGCGGATCTCGCCTCACCAGCCACAGCAGCTGCACGTTGGATATGTGCAGCGCCACGAAGCCCAGCGAGGCGATCGCCATCGAAGCGTCCGGCGCCCAGAGCGAGGTGACGATGCCCAGGACCATGTGCGCCATCACCGCCCACTGAAAATTGTAGGACGGCGCGCTCACGAAGAGCGCGGATGACATCATCGCTGCGGTTGCTCGGGCGCCGGGACGCCCGCTGTGCGTCGGCGGCTGTCGCGAGCAAGGAGCGCTGCTCCAGCGTGCCGCGAGGCGAGGTTTCGAGGGCCGTCGTGATTGGTCGCGGTCAGCGCGAAGACTGTCGGAGACCCCGAAGCTATCAGCCCGCACAGGACCCCGGCGTCTTGCCCGCTGAATGGGCAGGTGCCGGGCAACGACATCATATTGCTTCCTGCACCAGATCGGTGACCGCTTGCACGAAGTCACGTGCACACAGGGACTCACCTCAGTTTCAGGGTTAAGGTTTAGGTTTAGGGTGACTTCAAGGGTTAGGGTAGGTTTGGGGTTAAGGTTGTAGGGTTTAGGGGGTGGAGGTTAGGTTAGGTTAGTTTTGGAGGGGTTTGATGCAAGCAGTCACCGATTTGGTGCAGCGAGTAATTTTATGCCCAAGGCCACCCCTCCAATACTAGCTAAAGTACTACACTACCGTTGCTGCCACGCACGTGTCCGGGCGGACATCCAACAACCGATTTTCCACCATTTTCGATTATTTTTTGGGATTTTTGGCAGTGCGCGTGTCCACGGCTTCAATAAACCTGGGTGCCAAATACTGGCTAAAGTGCTGGACCGCCAGCCCGGGCAGCCTGGGCAGTGGGGACACACTCTCCGTGGAGAGCCACGCGGACATCTCACTACCGATTTCCATCATTCTCCATCATTTTATCACCATTTTGTCTAATTTCTTATTTGTGAAATGAATTCAGAGCCCACGTGGTGTCCACTGTTTCCGTAGACCTGGGTGCCAGATACTGTGGCCAGGGGTGAGCGCCACAGGGCGTGGCGCCTTGGTGCCAGGCCACCGGACCCCCTCGCCTGGCAGCGACCGGCGCCGCGCGACGCCACTGCCCTCCTGGATGGACGGTGGCGGCGACTGGCGGGGCGCGGACGACCTCCTGGAGGAGGAAGAGCGCCAAGATGGGGAGCAGTGGCGCGCGAACAGAGCGGAGAAGGTGATGATCACGCAGGCCGGCCGGCCGAGCCGATCCCGTCGCGGGGACGAGCCGGACGCGTCGATCGAAGCTTCGGGGGAACTGATCGCGTGGGAGTTTCCTCGGGCTTTCCGACGGCCCCTTGGCGCGGATGTGCGGATGTGCTGAGCAGTGCGTCGTTGACCAAGAACTTTGCGAACGCCCTTGCGTCTTTTCCGCGTCGTCGCCGCGTCTTTGCGCGCGGATGGCATGGACGGATCTCACCGACGCGGGGGGAATGTCCGATGCCTGATCCTGCCCGGTTTGATCACACCTGACTGTGGGCGGGGTCGTGGATGTCGGTGTTCCCCACCAGGCAGGACGACCTGTGGGGTCCCGCGTCGCTATGGGCAGACAAAAGCACTGTACAGCAGCATGTAGCATGACATTTAGCATGACACAAAATTGCCTCAGACCCAGAATCCAATCTGCCGCACAGAGCGAGTGGGCAATGTTCATTAGCAGGGGAAGATTCTGTGGCCTTTTCTGTTGGCCACTTGCCCATTTATAGGGGCCACTGTTTTGTTGGCTCTGTAGGCGAGGGAACGCCAGCTTCAGGATGACTCCCTGGACCACAAGTTCGGATTCCCTTTCCTTGCTGAGGGACAAACAATCGAGGGATGGCTGCTGAACTTCAAGACTGTGAGTGGTTTTCCTTATTCCAACATGTTGCCACACTATTTTTTTGCTTGCAGAAGCCTAATTTTATTTACTGTGTAAGTACAGTGATTTGCCTAGGAGTATGAGTAGCTGTTGGCATTGTCAATACAGGCTCCATTCCAAACCGCGTTCTGTCTATGTCTTGTACATGCAATTCTGCCATATGCCACTACCACACGACGTCTCGTCGCCTAACTGAGCTCATCACAACCCACTCGAAGCTGAGCAGCTCATGGAAACTGCAGAGTCTCTTGCACATCAAATAGGCTGAGATTTTGCTGTGCATAGTGAAGCAGCTCCTTTCGAATCTTGCATCCAAGTGCTGCAAAGATCTGGTCGAAATGTGAGAATGGGCATTCCACCATGCAGCGCAATCTTGTCTGCTGATGATTTGGGTCGGATGTGTTGGACGAATCAGGCACAAGCAGAAGATCAGGAGGCTGGCAGGACAGTCAGTGCTGTTGATTGCTACTTCATCAGCCAGGTGAGCTGTGCACACCTGAGGCACTACGCTTCTGTAGGAATGCAGCCAGTCATGTAAGCACTTTTCTGGAAGCTGTGTTCAAATAAGCTGGTTCAGTACTTCCCGTACCTCAAACTCCAAGATCAACTGCGGTGCCATACGTTTAGATAAAAATTTTTCAGCAGAGTTGGAAGTGATCACGATTTGCAGGCAACATGACTTGCAGATGCGTTGAATGGGGGCCAACTGGCGAACAAATCACTTGGTGCGGAGCACAGAATCATGAGCAAACTTGCACTTCTGGTACAAAGTGCATGCAAGAATCAAACTAGGTGCCAAATGCTGATGTGGCTGTACATGTTGGCAAGTATAAAAGCATTGCCTGTCCACCATTTTGGGCAATAAAGGTTACTTGATCCACTTCAGGTATATATCCCGAATACCCTTGCCTCCATTTCGTTGCCGAACCAAAGTGTATGATCTATCGATGTGTCTGAATTCTGTTTGTTACGTTGGTCCAAAACACAAGACCAAACTAGGACCTTGCACTGCTCGTTTACACCTTCTCTTAAAACAGTGGAGGCACCTGGATTATGGATTTGCTGTATTGCTTTGGAACAGAAAGAAATCAAATATATTATATAGGGCCCTGCACCTAAACATGCAATGAACGGCATGGCAGCAACCAAGCGATGTTTATTCACTTTGTGTGTGATCTGTCTGGTGTGCAGGATGGCAGCATGTGTAAAGTCAGGATGCCTCATGAGCCTTATTTCTACCTTGTTATCCAGGTATGATCAGTTGGACAGATCTTGATGCCCAAAATTGCTGTATCACTCATCCTCACAGCAAGGTGCCCCCAACAAACTTGTGGTGTGGCCAATGAGTGTTGTCTGGACGAACACAGATAAAGTCAGGTCATGGACATCTGTTTCTGAGAAACGCCTTTTGACAAACTTGCTGTGCCATAAGAGATGATGCAGAAGCATCCGAGTGCAACAGGGAACCAACATAATGGAAGTGCCGCGCATCGAGATGTGCCACTAATAACAACAGATCATGCACCCAAGGGAATGCACTTCTGTGGGGACTCCCACAACCCAATTATTCCAATGAAGAAGAGAACAAGTCAGGAAATGGACGTTTTTGTGACCGTTCTGCATGCGTTTTGCAAGACTGACAAACGGTGACCCTGCATGGCACCACAGTATAGTATGTGTATGGTATAGATCTACTCCACTTGGTAGGCAGGGACAGGTCCAGTTTGCAGGCGATGATATTTGTTCTTTTCCCTTGAGCGAAAAATTCCCGGCAGTTTAGAAAGATGACATCGGACAACTCCTTCCTGAGCGTGGAATGTCTTAGTTTCTTTCCTTATTTACATGTATTGTCGAATTCGTCAGCAGGTGAACAAAAACGCCAAAGTACCTTGAGGATTGCAAGGGGAATGGGGGATCCTTGCACGTTGCTTTTGCACCTGCGAAAATAGCAAAGCACTCTTGCTCATACTGTTGTGAACTGTTGGGATGTGCATGTGGTTTACTAAGGACGAGTACATTAGAGAGGTGGAGGAGTTGCTGCTGCGCACCAATGAGGGGAAGATCAAGTCTGTTGAAGTCGTGGAGAAGCAGGATTTGGACATGGTGAGTGTTGGACACGAAACATTTGTTATTGTATTCCTTGATGTGCAGAAATGCGGTTGAATATATCTTCATCAGCGACATAATAATTGACCTGATCGCAATGGTGATAAATATCTGCACACTTATAGACAGTATGCATCTCTTACAAACTCCAATTATTAGTCCCATTTTACTATCAGTACAGAACGACCCCAGTGCATTCCTTGCTTCAGACTTAACATCGCAAGATGCAATGTTTTGGAGCAATAGAAAGCATATGCTCCTCCAGCTTCACACTACTTGTCTATGTGACAATTGGCTTTTCGATGTTGACAACTGATGCTCAGTCACCTGAGGTGATACCTGAATTCACTGCATACTGAATTGGCGATCTGTTGCCACATAACTGTGCATTGGTTGCATCTTAGTTGTCAGTACAGTAGCCTTTTGCCTTCATGGGCAGCCCTTGCTCCCACAAAGATAATCATAGTGATGATGGGCACACATTGAAACCTCGCTGGCTTATTCCCAGACTGTGCATGAGGTGTTTGGTCTGTCAATGCTGCACAATGGGCACTTCGTAATGCCTATGAACAACATTTGTTTGTGAATAGATTAACATTGCAAAGTATATTTAAAAACTATGAACAAATTTTTGAGATTATTCTTATTGTACACAGATCAGGAAATCAGCACAATGAGCAGGCACTGCATTGAAACAGCAGATACATAGAGCAATGCATACTGCAAGAGCTATGCTCAGATTGCTATAGCTTCTGCTAAAACCAACAAGAACAATGACAGCGGAGTAATTTCATTCTACTTGCTTAAAATGGAAACATAGACGAACCAACACTTACAAACACTTATGATCGATAAAATTAATTTCCAAAATTGAGTCGATAAAGTAAAATGTGCAAGGCGCACGTCAAGAATTATTATCCGCAACACATCAAGTAGTCACATACAGGAATAAAACACTTCAACCTCTTCACTGAGCCATGTGGTTTCTTGGCTGTTGTTTGTAGAAAAACCATTTGGCACCGGGCATCACCCAAAAGATGCTGAAGATCAGCTTCTGGACTGTGAAAGACCTTGTAGACGTGAAGGGCAAAGTGATGCCCATCGTCAAGAAGCGGCGATCAACGCAGCGGGAAGGCACTGCAAAGCTGCAGGAGGCTGCATCAGCGACAAGGAGGATAGATGTACGCTCCTTGAATGTTGCAATGAACCCCTGATCCGATTTAAAAATCTCCACAGTCCAAGCACTGATGCTTTGATTTTGCATTGCGTTGTGTCCTTCCACATGCCTGACAAGTTTTACTGCTTTTGAACTCCTGCAGGATTACTGGGAGATGATTCTGGACATCAGGGAGTATGATGTCCCTTTCCACCACCGTTTCGCCATAGACACCAGCATACGATGTGGACGTTGGTACAAAGTTACCGTAAAGGTGTGAAGGAGTGCCACCGTTGCAGCGTCAATTGGGCTTAGGTTCAATTGTGAAAGTCATCACCTGCTCCGGCAGCTCTGTGCCTAGCTCTCCACGACTTGAACAGAGGTGTGATTGCTTTCCTAATGGCGGATTTCCCTGTGATGATCTTAGGAGGGCAAGGCATCGATAGTGTGCGATGCTGAAAATGTCGCGCGAGGGGAGCCGGTTGTGTGTGCCTTCGATATCGAGACCACAAAGCTTCCACTTCAGTTCCCCAATGCTGAGATCGACGAGGTGGGCCGCAGCCTGTGCAGATCAATGCCGCCAATGTCCAGAAGCCAAGTTGCTTCGATTCAGGGGACTGCTGGCAGGTGCCAGCCTGGGGCTGCTTTGTGCGGGGCATACATGGCCAGATCTGTGGGACTCCAGCCCTACATTTTGGAGGCTTGCTTTAGATACGAATCTGTAAATTTATGTCTGAATTTTCAAGGCATTGTGAATTTCGCGCACATCAGCTCAGGAGTTGCTTGCCACAACAGGTGCATGAACATTCTGATCTCGAGGCAGGCTGCTGGTTGAAATTTGAATGTGCTCTTGGCTGCTTGATTTCATTCTTTTGCTGGCCCTCACTTGTTACTCGTCCTGTCATCAGGTGTTCATGATTTCCTACATGGTTGAGGACCAGGGCTACCTCATCATTAGCAGGACTGTCGTTTCAGAGGATATTCACTCGTTTGAGTACAGCCCCAAGCCAGACATAAAAGGCAGCTTCATCATTTTCAATGAGCCCGATGAGTTGCACCTCTTGCAGCGCTGGTTCGAGCACATGCAAGAGGTTTGTAGTTTCAAACCCCAAGAAGTCCCTCAAACTCTGTGTTCGTGTTACTTGCATTCATTTTGTTTCCATCTTCTCTTGTAGTTTCCATATGATAATCTTCTCCTTAATTTTAGCTTCGCATCCCATGCTTCTACTTTTTTAGCCTACGATTGCCTTCTCTGTTCAAGGGCAGTGCATCGACGTGTTCCAGCAACCAGTATCAAAATGAACCTATTTAAATGCCCAAAGCAGCCAAAACCAATGCCTTGGCACCCACTGAGCAAGGTTCACCCAATGTCGCATCGCACGGTGTCCCTTCAGGTATGGAATGGTCACGAATGTGCACATTTGGCATTGGCCTCATCATTTATGTGAACATGCATTTGGCAGCTTTTGAAGCTCATACCAGACCACCACCTGGTCAGATTTTGTTTAACAATCAGTTGTTACTGGTCTTTGATGTGAACCATGGTGCAATTGGAATAGCAGCTAACTATTGATGAGTACATTATTGAACTATTCATTAGTATACTGGTGACAATTAAAATGAAAAGAAACACTATTCACTGAACATATATCAGCGAATCATTCAATTTGTTCATTAATTCATTGATCGTTCGTTTTGCTCCATCCTTGCAGGTCAAGCCTGCTGTGTATGTGACGTACAATGGGGACTTCTTTGATTTTCCCTTCCTTGAGGCCCGTGCCTCCAAGCATGGTCTGGACATGCGCCAGGAGATGGGCTTCCAGTGCAGTGATAATGGCAACTGCCTGAGCCGGGCGTGTCCACACATGGATTGTTTGCACTGGGTCAACAGGGACTCCTACCTTCCACAGGGCAGCAGGGGCTTGAAGGTTTGTAGGCCCTTTGGTGGACAAATGCAGAGAATCGAAAAGCTATGCAACAAGCAGCCTTGGAAACATGTGAACATGCGGGAATGTTCAAAACTATAGGAACGGGTATTGAAGGTAGAGCAGCGAAACAGATTTGAAACGACAGGGTTGTAGTTGAAACAATAAAACAAACTTCAAACAAGTGAAAATGACGTTCCCTGAGTTTGAAATTTGCTGTGGCATCCAATGATAGATTGATGCATTAAATGCATGTTTGCCCAGCTGGGAAACTATGGGCATTTGCAATTTCATTGGTACCCTGCAAGGCTATTGAAAATGTGTATTACATTCAACAGCGAGCATCAGAGATATTGATATTGAGCAGTATTCCATCTTTTATGTGTTCAACCTTTTCTCAATGACCAGTGGAAAGTGTGGCCATGTGTGTTCTTGCAGCACTCACAGTGTTTGGTGTGTCTGGCGCTGTTGAGAATTTCTTTCATACTTTTGTTCTGTTTTGGATGAATGTTACCTTCCCACATTGTCCTGAACATGTTAAAATTAGTTGGACAGATTTCAGACATTTCATGCCTCACCTGTAACCATCACACCTTGAGCGACATTAGCAAGAGAAACATCCTATCTGCACAGGCGCTGTGGCGTTTGTCTTTAAATGCAGCAGAAAAGACAGTGGCGGCTTTTGCAGAAGACAAATTGCCTATTTGCGCATCCTTGACTGGAATTGACAGAATAGTTGTCACATCAGTCACCGTAATTGTTCCACTGGAAATATGTGATGGCTGCTTGTTTCCCTGGTCAGGGGAGGCATGTAACGTCGCAATGCCCCGATTTGGTGGTGGGTGAACTGTACCTAGTTTGCAATGTGGTTTCCCTTGCTGAACATCCAATGTCTCATCTATGTGCCACAGCTGAAAATCATACAAACGCATTGTGTGGCAAGGTGTTCTTGCCCTTTCCAGGATGCTCCAGTCGTCAGGTGTGTTGGGCATGTCATCAGCTGTTGTGCATCGAACTCACAAGAACTGTCGTTGTTGGGCTTTGGTGGCAGCCGCTTCTTACACCCAACAATGTGCACGCAGGCTGTGACACGTGCAAAATTGGGCTACAGCCCCATGGAAGTTCCTCCCGAGGAGATGGTAAAAATGGCCCAGGAGCAGCCTCAGGCCATGGCTTCATATTCTGTGTCCGATGCAGTTGCAACCTACTACCTGTACATGACGTGAGTTGCACACTGAAAGCCTGACACACGCTGTTGTTGATATTCCCATTCTGCATACTCGTGCCACCTGTCTGCATGTCCTTGAGTGTAGTATCATGTCTGTTGCCACGCATCTCCACTTTGAGGCATGTCCATGGAGTAGCCACGTATTTTACATCAGAATGACCATTGCTGTCAGGTACATAAACCCTTTCGTGTTCTCGCTTGCCACAATAATTCCGATGTCGCCTGACGAGGTTCTCCGAAAGGGATCTGGCACGCTGTGCGAGTCGCTGCTGATGGTCAAGGCGAATGAGCACAACGTCATCTGTCCCAACAAGCACATTTCCAAGAGTGCATCATTTCACAAGGTGCGGATGCTGCATAGAAAGCCGGGCTGTCAGAACAGGCCCTGACATGACAGCTTCAATCCACATGAGCACATGTTTGGGACATCAGCAGCTGTGAATTTCTGCAGAAGTCACGCTCTGGGTGGGAGGCACAATTAAGCTGATCTGCATTCAGCTGTCACACGTTGGGGCTTGCAAAGCGATCTCAAGGCCATGTCCTTTTTGTGGTGCAGGGCCATCTATTGGAAACAGAAACTTACATTGGAGGCAAAGTGGCAGCTGTCGAATGTGGTGTGTTTCGGTCAGATCTGCCTCTTCAATTCGGATTGGCGCCTTCAGCCGTCCAGGTACATGGGCTCATGTTCTCAGGGTGCCCTTGATCACCCTCTGGGATTGATTCGAGTTGATGGACAAGTGCTAGTGCCACCAATAGAGTAAAACGCTTCAGCCACTATATTGTAGAATTCATATGCATCATGTGACTCAGCTCTTCTCTGCTTGGGAACTGGAAGGAATGCCAATATATTGTATATCTGCCCTCAAACCTTTGAACAATCAGTATTTCCATTTTCTGTGGCGTAAACATGTTCAGCTCAAAGTTGAGCTGTTGCTGCAAGCTGAATATGGTGTGAAGACATGTGTGTATGGCCTGTCTACTATTCTTGCATAGATGTCTGTTAACTCCTGATAAATCCTGATTGGGCAATTGCCCCTGGATGTGTTGATATAAACAAGGTGCCTAGCATATCTGTATCAGGCTTGGATGTTGCCTTAGGCCCTCATCAACGACCTTGACTTTGACCTCAACTATGCCATAACTGTGGAGGGGGGGCTGTCCAAGGACAATGTTGCCAATTATGATGATGTGAAGCAAGAAATCCAGAAGATCCTAGAAGACCTCAGAGATAAGCCAAACAGGTGACATCGCCAGCAAGCCTTTTGAGGTTTGCCTTGTGACAGCGCACACAGCCAAGATGAATTAGCCCCCAGAGGAAAAGCATTTGAAACTGCGATTCAATTTGTGGATAGTTGAGGCCCGTGTGGGCAAGTTTGCTTTGCGATCGTTCGTTCAGTTTTATACTTCACACATGTTGGTACCTTCAAATCGATGCAGTTGTGTGCTGTCCCTCTGTGCTGATCTCTGCCTCTGAGCTACTGTGCAATTATTTGCTGACTGCCTTAGTGGACTGCTGATGCTGCTAACAGACTCGGTATTTCAAATCATGTTGCAATGTCTGACCACAGCCATACACATGGCAGATAGTTTGAATAGATGAAGGACACAAAACGTGCTTAGATGCATACATGCCTGTCAATACCAACAGGTTGCAAGGGCACTGCTTTGTCAAGTCAACAGCAATTCTCCCTTTCCATCTTAGTGATGATAACAGTGCCTAAGCCTGGGTTCGTTGCAGCACTTTGCAGAGTGATATTTGCTTGACACATCGAAAGCAAATATCTGAAAATTGTCACAACTGAAATACTTGTCGATGGGCGTTCAAGGGAGGAGCCGCCTGTCATATATCACTTGGACGTTGCTGCCATGTACCCCAACATAATCTTGACCAACCGCCTGCAGCCCACGGCTGTTGTGACCGACCACGATTGTGCTGCCTGCTGCTTCAACAAGCCCAACAAGACCTGTCTCCGGAAGATGGAATGGGTATGAACATCCCCCAACGATCACATTCATTTGTCGCACTGTGACGCAGCAAAGGTTTTTTGCCTTCAAGGCGATGACGGCTCAGTGTCAACCACAATGGTTGTTCCAGAATTGGGTTCCTAGTTGGTGTCCCTGCTTGTGGTGCTCTACCTCAATGGACCCAGCGACAGGCATTGATGTCTAAGCCAATTGATCACTGTACAGTGTTTGTGGCTGCCATGAACTGCGTGTGTTTCCCTCCCTGTCGCAGGACAATTGCACAGCAAGGACATGGCATGAGCACGTATTTTGGCACAGACTCCCCGTAGGGACCGAATTCAGCAGATATTCTTATCATCCCACTGGGCAAACATTAAGCCAAGCCGCCGTATTCCCCCCCACCCCACCCCCCACCAGGGAGCCCAAGGAGGCGAAGCCATCAATAGCTTTCAAGCTATCTCAAGTCTATTTTCATCATTAACATCGCCACTGTGCCCCTATCAATATGAAGCCGGAATTCTGGTACAAATATGGTACATACATGATGCAAGTATGGTTTATCTTGACAAACATCATCGAATCAATGTCTCTGAGCAATGTTAACAAAATTTGCAGCCAAAATGTGGCAGCAGCATCAATGCACATTGTTCAGCCTGACAGTTCATTTTGCTCTGCACTTATCCCCTGTCCATTTGTTAAGGATGCTTGTGTGCTCCCAGAAATGGCGCGGGGAACCTTATGTCATTGATCGCAGTGAGTACGGTTCTGTCAAGCGACAGCTGGAGTGCCAGACGTTCCCTCCCAGGCAAGAGGGTGGGAAGAGTCGCCTGTTTGCGGAACTCCCTCAAGATCAGCAGTCCAAACTCCTGAAGGAGAAGCTGACGACATACTGCCGCAAGGTCAGTGAAGCGGCAGCGGCTGCGATCTTTTGTCACTGAAGAGCACACATCAATGAGATTCTCACTCTTGTTGGGAAAGAGTCTGAGGTGGTTTGATTGACGTGGTGGTGGGCAACTTCCTGTCGTTTTTTTGGCATTTTTGGAATTTGGAAATTTGGTATGCTTACTTGCAGAACCGAGGTGGATGGTGTGAATGGCTGGATGTCTCTGCTGACATTGCAGGTTGTCGATTGCTGCATTATGAGTCATGTTCATGGTTTGCACATTTTTTGACCTCTTGCAATCCACATGCTAGCATATTGTGCTCCTGATGTGTCCTGACATGTCACTGTGCTCCTTGCTGACTTCATGTCCAACACCAAGATGGACAAACCAGCTATTTTGATGGACTTGATTCTATTGCAGTGAACAACTATGTCTAGCTGATAAGCATTGCCGGTGACGAATGATGACTGGGGCAAGAATTTGTGCACAAATTGAAATTTTGACTGAAGAGAAGAAAGTAGCTGGTGATGAAATTGGTTGCATAAATATGAAGAAATGAACATTTCCATTGTGAAAGAACAAGACTGGTGCTTTGCACATGAAAGTGCAGCTGGGCCCCAGGTGTACAAGAAAGTGAAAAACAAGCCCATCACGGAGACCCGGGAGGCTGGCATCTGCATGAAGGAAAATTCCTTCTACGTGGACACTGTGCGCGAATTCCGCGACCGCCGCTACAAGTACAAGCGACTGGTCAAGCAGTGGAAGGCCAAGAAGGAAAAGGCACTAGAAAGCGGCGACGTGCAGACAGTGTCTGAGGCAAAGGACATGGTGATTCTGTACGACTCGCTGCAGCTGGCGCACAAGTGCATCCTCAACTCATTCTATGGCTACGTCATGAGGCGGGGCGCCCGGTGGTATTCCATGGAGATGGCAGGCGTAGTGACATACACTGGAGCACAGATCATCGAGGTGTTTGGAATTGGATTATTATCTGCACTCAATTCCAATAGACCTCCTGAGTTTGGCTAAAACTTTTTGGGTGTGTTCAGGAATAGGATTGCATTCAGGGAGCCTGATTCTCAATTGTGGCACTCTAAAGCTCACATGCCACCTTGCACCCTTCTTGGTCTGTGGTCTGCACCAAGGCTTGTAATTTTGTGTGCCACTGCCAATCTTGTGTGAATCGATGTCCAGTACTTTCCTATCTTGCATGCCAGATAGATGCTCGCAAGAAGAGTTTCTTGTTGATTCTGAAGCATGGCTGGATTTGAATGAGCAGCAAAACCTTGCAAAATGATGCACGATGCACAGTATACAGTCATGGAGTGCTGTGCACAGTCAGGCTCCAGCGGGGCAGCTCCCTCCAATGCCATGCTGTGCAGTGAAGCACTCTGCAGCACTGTCTCATAGAGTGCCGCATGCTGTCATGTGACTGCTAATGCACTGGTGATGTGTGCTGCCTCAGAGGGCGTACAAAATGATGGGGAAGCTGGGCCGCCCCCTTGAGCTGGACACTGATGGCATCTGGACCGCCCTGCCAGCCAGCTTCCCTGAGAACTTTGCATTCAAGTTGAAAGACGGTGGGAAGTACAAGATCTCGTACCCCTGCATCATCCTGAACACCATGGTGGCCAGCCACAACAAGAACGACCAGTACCAGCGCTTGGTGGACTCGAGCGCTGGGCGTTACGAGACCAGCAGCCAGATGTCCATAGAATTCGAGGTGGATGGGCCGTACAAGGTGCGCAGCACACAACACTGGTGCAAATATTGGTGTCGAAATGGGATTAATATAAAGCTAATTATTACGGATTGCGCTGTTAATATTGTGGGATTTTGTGGCAAACGAATGGGGCTGAAACGTTAGAAATTTTAAGTACCGATGTGCAATTTTCAACGATTTGACACGGGCAGAAATTATGCTCAATGATCAGTTATTGGCATGTTCGATGGATTGGGAGTTGTGCTTTCCTGTTCAAAAACAGTACCAGTTATGCTTAATATTAATATGTATTAATATTAATATCAATATTAAATATGCAGTCTACAATTGGTTTTGCTTTTGGACTCTGAACAATTTGTACAGTACGAAGGGAGCGATGCCTTGTCGTACAAGCCAGACAATTTGTAAAGTTGTGCGAGGTGAAGAGATGTGGACATAAATAACGGGGAAGTGAAATAATAAAAGACAATCATTACGTTGCAGTTCGACAGTTTGGCTGCTCTTTTTGCTGATAACCAACTCCCACAGTAAACATGCCTCCCCCATACAAGAGCAACAGGTAAATAGATAGATGATTAGAAAGATGTCTAAAGATAGCAAAAGAATCAGAGCTGATAAGTCAATAAATATGTAATTCGAACAAACGCATCTTTGAGGACAGCTACTTCTGGATGCACAACCACCTGACATCGCCTAATAGGATCTTTGGCCAAGAAAGTTTGAAACCACCATTGCAGCTCCTGAGGTGGAATGTTGATTCCGCGCTTCCAAATGAAGTAAATAAATGCAAATGCACAGTTTGCAAGATGTGCATTTGACAGGCCACGATGGCCACATGGACAAGTTCTTAAGTGCCAAGCTGCTCCTAACATATCCCAACAATGAAAACCCAGTGCTCTGTTTGCTTTCAAATTCTGCAAGTCGTTGACGAAACATTTGAATGACGATGCCAATATGTTTGCTGCTGAAGTTTGTGAGTACAATCCTGTGGCAGGCCATGATTTTGCCAGCCTCCAAGGAGGAGGGAAAGTCCATCAAGAAGCGGTATGCTGTCTTCAATTTTGACGGCTCTCTTGCGGAATTGAAAGGATTTGAGATGAAGAGGCGAGGCGAACTCCAGCTGATCAAAAAGTTCCAAGCCGAGGTGAACGCACGACTCAGCTGGTCCATTGCCAAGCCGATTAAATCGTCTGTTTACGAAATTTGCCTTCGCTTGTTTGGACTGCCCTGCTGCCCAATCACTGGCCCGAAATATTTTACTTTATTTCTTGTTATGCCTTGGCTTGTCCTTTTTATGTTGTCTTTCTTTCCTTGTGTCCTTGGCAGCTGCCTTAAATATTTGCTGTCGCAGAGGGGTAGGGATTGGCCAAATTTGCCAAGTCTTACCCCCATCTTGAGCAGCGTGTTTAACTGCTATTAACTGGCATCCAATGCAATCATTGCTGCAATTGTTTCTGATGAAGTCGCATTGTTGCTGCCGAAACGCGTACCTTAGTTAATGGTCGTTGTATTTTGAAACCCTAGAACCAAACATACAAGATTTCTTGCAGTTTTAGTAGGGAGCTGGCAGTGCGAATGTAAAATCAAACCATAGGGCTCACAACTTGCACTACGATGAATATGCAGCGCCCAGGCACTTGCAGCAATACTTTGCGCAAACCCGTTGGATTGCCACATTAGCATGGTGTTGCAGGATTGACTTCCAATAATTCACAACTGTACTGATTACCCGGCGATGTTAATGATGCTGCCTTGCCACATTTTAAAATTTCAGCAAGAAAATACATGTAATTGGTGTAGCTGCCCAACGAGAGGAAGTCGCTGCAACAGGACATTATCAGGGATTTCCTAGCTGCCTTGCAACTTGCAGCAATAGGTATGTTCACCAAATGTGCGACTTGGCTTGTGTAATAGCAACAGATGCGGCACCATCCGTCACCTGTGCATTGGGCTTTATGCACATGTACAGCTGGTCGTGTACTTCAGCACCAGAGACAGCAGTGCATTGGTCAGTACGTTGGCCTTTCAGGCAAGTGTTCAACTGGCGGTGTACTCTAAGAGCACATGCTGCAACGCATTTGGCTAGAACTTTTTGGCCCTGCCATCATTGGGTTGAAAGGTGGTCCGTCCATTGCTCCCTCAGGTGTTTGCCAAATTCCTGGATGGGCAGTCTTCAGACGAGTGCTACAAGTCTGTTGGCCAGGTGGCAGAACGTTGGCTCACCGTCCTGGACACCAAGGTGAGACCAAAATGGACGACTACACTGGAAAACATGTGCGAAAATAGCAACAGAAATGAGGGGAGAAAATAGTGAAGAGATGAGAAATTCTGCAGAAAAGAAACGGACATAGGGTTGTGCAGGTCGTACAATAGACAGATGTGCATGCATTCAGAGCTGATCTTGGAACACCGCTGATACCAGAAGGCGCAGACAAACATCAGTTGAATGCCATCTGATGAGTGATTGTCTCGGTCGTTGCACTCTATCAACATGCTATGGCGATCATGCTGTCATCTCTTGTGGTGCCAGCTGGTGAATAGACTGTGTCTTATTGCATCTGTGTGACGAAGCACAAGTGTGCACACCACATGGCAGATGTTGAATTCATTTCAATTGCTTGTCCTGTAACAGCAAGTTCCCCTTGTGTGCAATGAATAGCTGTTTCGACACCACATTCTGGTAGAATCAGGACAGAAGACACGATTGAACATGCGCCACTTAATCCGTTCATTGCTTGGTTTATGCTACAAGTAACAATATTGGGAAAAGGACAAAAGGTGGTCCTCTGTGAGATATCTTAACAAAAATGGATCCTCTGTGACAAAAGGGGTTCTCTGACCGGCCCCTATACATTAGATGCGTTGCCAGACTGGTGCCAGACCGGCGCCGGTCAGCAACCCGGTCCTACTAGGGGTGACCCCGCAGAGGACCTCCTTTTGTCAATTTCCCTCTTGGAGGTGTTATAGGGGTTTGTGGGGGCACCTCAATGCCATTTAATGACCCCCCCTGCCCTTGGTGTATCAATTAAATGCAATTGGTCTCCATAAAAGTACACGAATCTTTTAAATCAATGCCATGACTGTGTTGCCGCTTCAAGGTCAGTAAATAACAACTTTTGGGGCAAAATCTGAAGAGATGACACGTAAGCCTAAAGATTTCATTCTTTTAAAATCATTAGGTTCTCATGATGTTCAATTCAGTCTGGGCGTTTCGTTGCATGAGTTTTTGAGCACGTATTCAAGAAATAAAGTTGACTTGCATTGGATCTGTATGCATGAAGCAAAATGGCTGCTAGTTATTTTGAAATCACAACACAATAATTTGTGTCCTTTTGGTGACTTTCATGCCATGGGTGATAACCGAGACACACTTTTCGCTCATCAAGGGGTCATAGAGTTGTTTGATAACGATTGAGATTTGTGATTGATGGATTGTGTTCGATGGGCAAGATCGTTGGTGACTATTGTGATGCAGTGAGGTGCATGCAGTGTATTTATTGTTTGCAATATCGGACTTGGTGGACTGACAAGTCCAAAAATTGTAGCTTGGCCACTGTTTGGATTGTGGTTTTTCACAACTCAGTTGTGAAAACCATCAATATGGCATGGTTTTGGCGCTCAAAAGGGCATTTTTCCAAATAGATATTGGCAATTACTTCACTTTACAAAAGAACGCTTACAAAATTAAAGTGCTACGAGTGTCCCGCATTTGACAAAGCTTGTGTTTGGTAGACTTCAGCCTTCAGAAAGCCACAGACAAATAGAACATCCAGACCACAAGAACATTCAAAGCTGTGGTCAGCATCTCCGAATGTGATTGGATCGCTGCTTATTCTCACCGCAACTCTGGTCGCCGCTTGCTCTCCCCATGACCCCGATCGCCACTCGGTCCCCCGCAGATCCGATCGCTACGACTCCCTCCGCAGCTCCGATCGCTGTGTGCTCTCTCCGGCAGCTCAGATCGCTGCTTGGTGTCCCTCACAGCCCCGATCGCCGCGACTCCCCTTCACACCCAGATTGCCGTGGCGCCGTCCCAAAGGGATCGCCCCTAGTAGGACCGTGGTCCAGTCTGGAGCCAGACCAATCACCCGGAAAAAAGGGCCATATAACACGTGTTCAAACATGTACAAAGTTTATGGGTTTGGGTTCTTTTTGTGTTCTTAGCATGCAGGACTTTGATGAAATGTGTTTTATGTGTGTTCACAAAAATGCTATTTGCTCCTTTTCTTGCTAGTGAGTGCTGGTATGGCGCCGGTTTGGCCCTGTCTTGCAACGCGTTTAATGTACAGGGGCAGGTCAGAGGACTCCCTTTTGTCAAATTTCCAACATTCTTTACAGAAACTTGGTGGTTGTTTAGATGAAATAAATTGTCTCTTATGGCAGATTTGGGGGAAGCGGAATTCGATTATGGTTACATTTACATTGACAACACAAAACAGTGCTCTGCAGCTGCAGATCAAGAACTGGGGAATTCTGACATCGACAAAACGTTTCCAGAATGATAGGATGACTTGAGGAATGATGGGATGTCCGCACTGGCTGCCAACGTATAGTGGTCATGGTTGTGTTCTTCATCATCTGATACTAGCCTTTGCTGTACTGTGCTTGCAGCACAGTGTGTAACAGAACATACCGGTTCACAGTACGTCGCAGCAGAACCCAGCAATACTGCAGTTGCAGTACTCTTGCTTTGCGGCACTACATATTGATGCTCGCGTGCCCATGTATTACTGTTCAATATAGCTAATGCACTGCCATTGAATTGAAAGTTGAATTTTGTAAGTGGCAAGGCAAAGTAACAGTAAATGATGGCGTGCTGCCTCCAGGGAGCTGACATAGAGTTTGAATCCCTGATGGAACTCATTTCTGAATCCTGCACCATGAGCAAGTCGATCGAAGAATATGATGGTGAGGGACACTCAGCCTGCCCCCTCTTGAGCACTTGGCAATGATCCCATTTCTTTACTTGCCAGCTCTCTCTTTAGTGCGCTGTCAGCAAATCGGGATCTGATCCCATTTACTTAACTTGTCAGCTCTCCATAGCGCCCTATTTAGGTACTTGCCTGCAGTCCATCAATCGCCACCATGGTAGCTTGAGTGATGCTTGCATTTTTAATCTGAATCGAACCAAACTTCGTGTGCGGAAGAATCTTGTCATGTATTGTATTTTAATTCAAGTATCAGAGAGTGTGTTACCATACAGAGTGTGATAATGTATATTTGCCAGCATGAAACACAAACACAACTGTTTTGTATTGACACCAATATAAAACATGCCCGTGTGTTGTGCAAATACATTTAATGTGGGATGCAATCATGACTATTGCATTCTTGAAGAGTTTTAGTGAACCACAGGCTGCATAATAGATTTCTGATCCAGCCATGAACAAGGCTGTTGGATGCTCTTCTTTCCTTAAACATCCCACAGTATTTGGAATCAGAGCAACACAGAAGGAAGCATCCACGCATCGAAACAGAATAATACCAACATTGAAGTGCATGGTTGACAACCAATACACCAATTCCTGTCTGCAACAGGCCGGAAGTCCTGCCCAATCACCACTGCCAATCGCCTGGCAGCTTTCCTCTCCAACCAGCGCATGAAAGAGAAGGGTCTCTGTGCTCAGTACATCATTTCCAAGGAACCCAAGCACAAGCCCACCAGTGAAAGGGCTGTACCTGTGGAGATATTCAGGACGACTCCTGGTGTTGCAAGGCATTACTTGAGGCAATGGTGTGGCGCAGGCGCTGCACTTGGTGAGCATCCAACATTGATTCACATCATACTGCTAGTCAGGCGAGCCAAGACGATGAACTCAAGCATTTCGTTGCTCCTGCCTTGTCCAAATGACGTATAGAGGAAGTTGTACGTGTGGGCAAAATATTTTGCGATGCAAAAATGCAATACATGAAACTTTATGGACAGTGCATGATGCGATTTCAACACAAGTTGCATGCTGTTGGAATGACTTTGATTGTGCTGCATGACTTTGGTGTATTGCTCCATGCTGCATGCAAAAAGTAAAATTTCTGCAGTGTGGACAGATGGAGTTCAATGGTGTTCTTTTCATATGGTCTTTGTATCTTACTTTATTGCCATTTATTCAACTGTCATATTTGTGAACCCAAGGCGTTGGCGAGGACGAGATGCCGGATGTGCGGCAAATCCTGGACTGGGGTTACTACAGGGAGCGCTTGACAAGCGCCATTCAGAAGATCGTCACTATCCCGGCCGTGCTGCAGGGCATCAAGAACCCAGTGAAGATGATAAAGAACCCACAGTGGCTTGAGAAGAAGGTGAGATGCGCAGCAGCCTGCCAACCAGTTGGCTCGTTACTCGATGCTGGGGAGAGTTTTTTTTTTTGTTATTCTGCCCCTTCGCATTTTCATCTGCACAGATTCCAGTGAATCTTGAATGTGCAGCTGGAGACAATTGTGATTCTTATCTTGGTTGGCATTGTGTTGCTTTGTGCCGAAGCGTTTTTTCATACTTATTCACCCAAACATAGCATACTGCTGTCTATGCTCACATTAGGTGGTATGGCATGCTATCCGCATCAACAGGCATTTTATGCCCAACCACTCTTGCTTCTTTTCGCCACCTTACCATCTGCAAATTCTTCCGGAGCGATGCAAAATAGAAGATTTTATGTGCGAAGCATGGCACTGCGAAGCATGGCACTGCTCTACCTGACTCGATGAGGCAACATGCTGGGCAGCATGCACTCCAGACTTCTGCAAGTTCCTGATTTTGGTGTGAGGATACATAAGTATCAGCCACCCTTAGGCTGAGTGTTTCAGGTGGTTATGGCACCGTCTGTCTTAGGTTCAGGAACGCAACTCTCGCTTGAAGCAAAGGAAACTGCAGTTCTCCAGGAAGCGGCCCAGAGAACAAGGCGAACAAATCAGTGATGTCATTGCTGCAGAGATGCCAAATGGACAAGAAGGACCCAAGGTACGGGGCCAAGCACGATTGAGTTGCCTTGGATGTCCTCACAAAGTAATAGAATTGAAGACAGAAAATAATGAAATGGTGGAAAACAAATATACTGTGATTGTCACAGGTGCAAGCCGCGATTACCTTCTTCCATTTCTTGTTAATTGTTGTGCATAGAGTGCCTATGTTGTGTAAAGAACAGCAACAAAGCTCACGCGCCTACCATAGTATACTTAACCCTTCTGCATATTGAAATTGCAGCGTTACTATTTTTGGTCCGCATTTTTTCGACAGTCCACTGTTTTGGGGACTCTGCATCATAGTCACCACCAGAATGGCAGCTTTGCTGAGCTGGTTTTGCCTCAAAACTTGGTTTTCCGCCACAGCAACTCATGCGGCTTGGGCCGCTAGACTCCATGAGCAGTCAAGAGAGCCTCGCGTTGCGTGCAGCTGGGGCTGCTGCACATTTTCTTGGGACTGTTACATTTTTATTATTGGTCTGCATGAACTGGCCAAAGTGTGTAACATACCATGGTATGAGACAATACATGAGCACTAATACCAGTTGCTAGTATGTTAATGTGCTGTATGCAACTCAACACATTTCTGTGACGCTGCAACTGTTGCTGCACTGCAGTGTTGCTCATTGGTGTTCATGTGCATGCTCGATGCCCTAAGGCCGTGTTTGTGCCATCCTTGCTGTTTTGCAATAATGGCACAGGGCACAGGCGAAACATGCATCAATGCTTGCTGCCAGTCATTAAGGAACACTGCTTCTGAGAGCTCATGAAAAGCATGCTGGCAATAACTGCGAATTCTGAGGCTCACTGAGTTCATTAAATGTCCCCTCTGCAAGATATTTTTTTGCATTAGTGTCCTTGCTGAACTATGCTTCATTTCTCTATTGTGTCTTCTCTTCTGTTGTCAACCTTTCCACAATCTGATTGACCAGACAATGCCGATTGCCCTCTCCCCCAAAATACAATCTAAATACTACCATAGTGAAACATTCCGCATCGCAACTTAAAGATTGACGATTTATGTGGAGCAGTATCTAGAACACGTAACGATGCCAGAAAAACATGTGGAACAGTCAAAAAAACGTAACGACATAGCTGGCTTTGAGAGGACCTGGGTGGCCACCCGTACCTCCATTGGGTGACTGCTGTGCACAAGTAACGTCTGTGAGAAATAAAGAGAAAAAGCTGCCAAGCTGAAACTTTACAATGCAGAAGGGTTGACCATGCAGTGGTGCTTGCAATCAAATGCGGTCTGAATAACATCTGGAATCTCTAATTTTAACGCTGGTTGCATCGATCAAAGCTGCAAAGCATCTTTGTTTGCATTTCCATGCACGAAGACAATCTGTTGTTGCCAAGGCATGGAGGCCTTCGGCGTTGTCTTCCCCACCAGAGCAAAGCAGACAAGAAATCAACGCAACGCAAACTGGCAACTGTTTGGTTGCTCTAATTATTGTCATTTGTCCCCTCAGTATCAATAGTCAGTTGCACCCATAACTCCATCTAAAATCTCAACGCCTACTTCTTCACAAGTACAACAAAAGGATGTGCTATTCCACCATTGTTTATCTCGAAAGTTCCTGTACGTGTGGGTTTCCTCAACACCATGACCTTTTCTCCAGGTGCCCCACTTGGAGGATCTTGAGGACATGTGTTCCTTTCGGTCTGTTCACAATAGTCAGGAAGGCAGTCTGTTGAAAGAAATGCCCGACCCAGGGAACAGAAACGTCGAAGGACCACGGCACCTGCAAGTTCAGCGCAGCAACGTGCCAGCGAGCAAGGCGATGGCATCTGAGGAGCAGCAGGTGGGAGGCTTGGAACCTTAAAAGGAAAGATATGATTGTGAGGTAACCGTGCTGCTGGTGCAGTAGTCTGATAATCGGGGAACAATATGCCAAATATTGCCTCCGTGGTCAGTTTTTCCCAGCTTGCATTGTTGCTTCAATCATGTTGTGCATCAGCTGGTTAGGCACATAATCGAACCTAGTCAACTTGGTATGCCAAACAGCTCATCCATCAAATAATCCATCAATCATTGAAGGTCAAGCCAGTCAAACAGTCAATGGAACAATGCACCTATCAATCAATTCGTCGACCAGTGGTTAGATAGAAGTCCCCGCTGCACTATACCCTTCTTCAACGAGGGTCACAAGGCCTGTAGGACTGCAGAACGCCAAATGTTGTGTGCCATTTTGCACATGGTCCCAGATTTTGTGCAGCAGCGAGGGCTGCTAATCTTTAGGTCTTGGGCAAGGTGGACCCACGTATGGCAAAGTCTCTATGAGCCAACAGCGGGCATGAACTTCTTTAGACGTGCAGAATGTTGCATTCAATTTTCATTTGCCTCACCCAAAAGCTGGTCTATGTGTCCTGCATATTGACATGCATGAAAACACACTTTCATATTGGCGCTGTCATGCTCGAATTAAATTGAAATTAGATAAAGAAAAGATAAAATGATGAGATGCATAGCCAACAACTCGCCAAGTCGTCTTTGTTCAAGAATACTAATCTTTGTTGTTGTTTCTCAATGACTGCACACTTGCATGAAGATGCGCTTCCAGATGCATGGCTATTGAGAGGCTGTGGGCAGCGGCAATGAGAATGTCCGCAGCAGCATTCATTCAAACTGCGACCACCATCAATGACCACATCTGAGTGCCACGACGAGAGACCGCACACAAGAATGCACGTGATGTGCATCTGTCCCATATGCCGCTCTAACCATTGTTGCTCCCCAGGGGCCAGCTCAACCGTCTGGCAGTGGTCAGGACAAAGGTGATATCTTCCAAAGCCTGAAGTCTTTGATCCGGGCAAGGAAGCAAAAATGGCGCGACGTCCATGCCGCCTCCAGAAAGAAGGCAAAGTGCAACGACGACGCCAATGCTCAGGTCCCAAGACAGGTTCGTCTGTCATCGTGGCGATCAGCACTGTTTACTTAGTTGTCTTTGTTCCATCTGAATCGCTTGGTTTGCTGTCAAATTTCGGGTATGAAGAGTACCTTCGCTTGGTGGTCTGAACAACGTGGAGAACAGAAGCCACTGGTTGCCGGCAGACAGTTTTGTGTGCTCAGGCCAGGGACAAGGCCGGATATGATGATTGACGTGTGTTTTATTTGCGGCTTCCTGAGATGTCGATGCACCATTAGTTGATATATTGATTTAATAGGTTATGGTAGTTAGTCAATCATTAATTCCATTTCATGTTCTTTGAAAGATGAGATTGTTGCCAGCAGCTGGATCAGCGGCAATTCATTGTGAGAGTGAGAAGCGCACATACTTGTCACCTCTCTGTTACTGACCTTGGACACCTTGCAGCGTACTTAGCACGGCCTGGTGTTTGGGACCCAAAGAGGGGCTGGAAATGCACATTATCATGTTGTGTCAATTATCACATAATTATCTCCCTTTCCATTTGTATTCTGACTGGGCAACCTGTTGGCAAACAGCAGTGGTTGTGATTTGGCATAGCATTGAGCAATTTTACTCAGCATGACGAACTCTGGCGCTGTTTTGTTTTCTCAGATGCTTTACAGTTGTTCAACAGCTTTGACAGATGTAATCAACACAGATTTTGTGGTTCACAGTTCCAAGACCTCAGTGACTACATTCTGAATCAGCAGAGTGCCATAAGCCACACATATTGGCAGATACTGGACCTGGAGAAGTCAGATGTGCCTGGCAGGTTGAAGGTAGTTGCAGAGCATGAAGACATGGTGTTGTTGGCATTCACTGTATGCTCATGATAGCAACCGGCAAAAACATTGCCGATAGTTCAGTAGCTCAAGTAATTGTGCAAATAAAACAACATGTTGCCCGAGAATTCAGAGCAGTTTGCATGGATTGCTATTTGCTAATTGCAACTGTTAGCTTAATTTCTGTAGGACTGGTGCATTATTTTCAGCAATTTAACTTGTTGAACACTGCCAGGATGAGCTTGACACATTTAGATGGTGCATTTAATTTTGGACTTGGCAAACACAGGTTGCAAGGGAAAAATACATAGCATGATGAAAGATGCTCAGAGTTGAGCATCAAAATACAAAAAATATAAATATAAACATAAATATAACATAAAATAAATAAATAAATAAATAAATAAAAATAAATAAATATATATATGTATGCTATTAAATGGGGTCCAATGCTGAGACGTCGTGCCCATCCTCCCAAGGTGTGGGTGCTGGCCGGCTCGCGCCTGTTCTCATTCCCTCTTAACGTGCCGCACACGTTCTACATTGCGACCATCGGTGAAAGGGAGTTGGGTTTTGGGTCAAACGTGAAGAAGGTGTTCCCTCCTGGGGAGATCGAAGCAGACACTGCATATGAGGTGAGAGGGGCACGTGCTTACCCGTGTCGCAGAAGCTGTTTGGATGGCACTTGGTTCCTCACAACATTACTCTTGGTCCTTGTAGGCTGAGCATTCCAGCATCTGGGCGTGTTGGAGCTGGGTTCTGGATTGAAGTAATTGGCCACTGCATCACCACATGACCACGTGATTGTTGATGGATTTAATGGATATTGTTCATCTGAAGCTGTGTACTGCAAGAATTCATTATATGACCCAAGCGAATTGATGGACAATTGGGCATGCAGGTGCATGTCCCAATAGCTTGTCATAGCTCTCAGTTATTGCCCTATTAGAACTCGTTGTCGCGACCATGCTGTCCAAACAGATGTTGGATTGGGTTTGCATATCAGCATCCGATTGTGGCAGCATCGAATTCAGTTGCAATTTGGGACAGTTGTTGTTTAAACTTGACCTGAGACTGACCATGTAGTGTTTGTTTCTGTCACCCTCCTTTTCTGGGTATCTGCATCAGTTTGACATTTCATCCCATGCTCTGAATTGCAGCGGACTGACATGCTGCTCCATGCAAATTCACCAGGTATCGATGCCACTTTGGGAGTACATCGAGCAGGCATCGAAGATTTCTGAGAAGCTGACAGTCATGGACATCTGCAATGTGTACCAGGTGGGGGGAATGAGGAACTGAAATACCAAGTGCATAGCACGATATGAATGCACATTTCAATCAATAATGCACCACAAGTTGAAAAATCGCCAAGTAAATGGATATTATTGTTGAAGTAACAATCCTACACCGCCAACACCACATTGCTACTGTCAGCATGGCTGGTGTTGTACAGCCTGCATGGTGCCTTTTCAGGTAAAAGAAAATTAATAGGCAAGTTTAGTTTGAGTCCACGCTGGAAGAGTGCTGTTATTGTCTTGGCTATGTTGACAGTCGCTGTTTTGTTGCTACTGCTGCGGCTATGACAAGGCAGTCAGAGCCACTTTAAGCACAGTTGTTGTTTGCAAACTATTGCTCACATCTGCCAAATAGCATTGTACTAGTACTGATGCTATTGTGCATAGCATAACTTGGGCGTCACCCTCAGCACTGTTGTTGTGCAGATACAAATGTCACTTTTTGCTTTGGTCATGCAGCATGGCGGCCAGCATGCCTGCGAACACTGTGTGTGTTCGTTTTGAAAACAGCCTGGACAGCAATTTGAACATTTGCAACTGCGGGTGGAAAGCGGTGGTGAAAAGCGGCAGACTCACTCCTATTGGGGACCACAAGGGCGCAGCTAACACCATTGGCTCCAAGCCTTGAACTCCTTTGCAACGATGTTGGGACCAGTTTTTGTCCAGGGACTCACTTTTGTTTCTCTATGTTTTTCCATCATTTCTTTTCTTTAGAAAATTTTTTGATTGAAGATTTTGTCCTTTCATCCCCCACTTCCATTGTTGGAGAATCGTTGAGAATGAGTTTCGAATCTTTGCTGGCTGCAGCACCTGCTACCATCCTGGCTTTTAGGAGCGATCAGGATGGGCTGCGTCATGTCACTCGCGCCCCATGCCCGTCAGAAGCAATATTCAACAGGCTTGGACATCGAGGATCTCAAGGTGCCAGCTACAGCCAACTATTTTCTGTTGACTGCAATTGTGTACTTGGCACAGAATAACCACCTTGCTCTTTGAAGATGGTGGACATGGACGATCCCAAATCGCTTTTGTTGTTCCCCGTTCGTCCGATTCTCCAAAAAAAAACCCACCCACCTGCACCACGCAGTCACACCAATGGCAGTGCATTATGGCTGCGTGTTTCAGAACAGCTGGAAAGTTATCGAAATGCATGGCCTTAAAGGTTTTCACAGGCAAGCCTGGTCACCCTGCCTTTGATCCCCGATGCGTCTTGCCGTCTCTTAGTTGTGACATGTCATACTGTCAGCTGTGTGTGGTGTGGAGTGATTGTTGCAATTCCTCTGCAAAAGCATTTGTCCCACATTCAACTTGTCCCCAGGTGCTTGAGAGCTAGCTGACTGATTTGAATGGTCCACTTGGGAGGAGAAGCGCAGTGCAGCTCTGTGTTCTTGCCATTTTCGTATTCAAGCGAAGGGAACAAAAAAGCTACAGGCCCCTACACATGCTTTTTGCCAAAAGATTCTCGTCGCAGTCGGAACCACCATTCTGGCATACATTTGTCTGGATTTTAGGAAGGCATGCCTTCAGTGACATATACCGTTTTGTTCCATTTCTGGTTGTCATCTAGGACTACAAACCAGTGGAAATGTGCTATCCATGGCCTTGCGGTGCAACATAGAACTCTTCACCTGTCATCATACCACACTCTTCCAGGTGTGCGCACAAGACTCAGCGCTTAGCACCTGTGTACTTATACCTTGTACACCCGCTTAACACCTTAGTACTCTGTGTAATACACTCAACACTTCGGCCTTTGCACCTGTGCTTTGGGTACCAAAGATGTCATGTAAACAGGAGCGGGTGCTCAATAGCTGTGCACCCAAAGGGTCGACAATTCCCAACAGCATGAGACCTGCCCCTTCAGGTGGAGAACCGGTCGGACCGACCCTACCTGCAGGGCACTGACACAGATGGCTGTGGGGGCCTCCGGCCAGTGGCAGTCCTCCACGCCAGCGACAAACGAGACGAGAGGGCCGTCTTTTTGGTGCTGGCAAGGGACGCACAAGCTGGCATAGTGGTGGTCGTTGTCCCCAACAGTGCCAGACAGGCAGGCATCTCCAGCAACATGGTCCAAAGCGCCTGGGAGGAAGAACTGGAAGATGTGTCGGTGCTGGGGGCAGTGGACCCAAAGGTGGCATTGCACCACAGGTCACCAGTATTGCTCCTAGCTACCTATCACTGCGCTTTTGTGTTGGATGTGTATGTGTACTTATATTTGTATTCACAATGCTACACAGACAAATGTAGATACTATACAAATCTATGCTTGTGTTTGCATTACAATTATATCTGTTCTTTCATTCATCTTGTGCTTTCTTCTCCTGCGTTTTGGCCATGTCATGGTGGCTAGCATACTACAGCCGATCCATTTCTGGATTTGACATCGCCTGGATGAGCATTTAATCTGGTTCAGGTGGATTGTACATGTGTGCAGAAATTTTTCTGCGTGTCTACAGCTCATTTGCTCCGTGCACACGTACAACCCGTTTTGGTGTGTTTGAGCCCTTTCTTGGGACTTGTGGTTTACAAGTCTGAACTGTTTTCGCTGCAAATGCCAAACGCCAGGCTGTATATGCTAGTGGGAATAGTTGGCTGCAAAAAGTCAGTATACCAAAAGCGAGTTGGCAAATAATCCACTTCGAATTTGAGCCGTGTCTTGCTGGTGGATGCCCGAATCGGGCCTCTGCTGCACTCGGCAGCGCTATGAAGTGGTGTGGCTGAATGTGTCAAAGGTGGTAATTTGGAGTACGTCTTGATGGAGAATGTCGTGTTGCAGGTTTTCTGGAGAGAGCAGCCCAGTGACTGGCTTGCATCTGTATTGTATCACTGCTGTAAATGTGTGACACAGTAGTCCATCGCACCTTCAGGCAGCGCTGTATCCTCTTGCCAGCCAAAAGTGACAGTGCTGGGAAGTCAGAGTTCCCTCTGTTTCTACCTACTACTGGCATTTTCAATTTTCGTATTTGGAAAGAGGAACTGTGGTGATTGAGTGTGCCATGCATGTTGCTGAAGGATTGAATTTGGCAGCCCATGGTCGATTTGAGTCTGGGTGTGTTCCTCTCAGGCATGCATCCGAGATTTGTTAGCTGTGAGGTTTGACATCAAGGTCAAAACGAACATGCACGATGCATATCAATATGTGTCGAAAGCACTCAAAGGTTTCAGGTATGAATGCAAGGCTGCATTGTCCTTGTCAACAGCATGGCGCAAGACACTGGTCATCTCAAGCACATCTGATCACTAAGACAATAGGGCGAAATTACTCTCAGATTTGTTACCCTAAATCCCACAACAACGTTGAGCTACACTCTACTGAAAAGATCTCAGATGGAGCAAATGTATACCCAGTGGTGGGTCAGCCCAGAACATGTTGCTGCAGCAACCTGTTCACTTCAAAATATATTGCAAGTATGTGGCTCAGGTACTTCCATTGTGCATCGTTGAAATTGCACATGAAAAATACTGCTCCATTAGCGCAAGCCACAGCATCCCACAATTTTAGCATGATCTCCAGCAGTGGCGATTGCGCTGTACCACTTGAACTTGCAGTACCATAACATTCACACCACACTGTGCAATGCAGAGTCTGACTGAAGCTCAGTGGATTCCTGCTCAAGCTTGTGAACTGCGGCTTCTTCCTGGTTTTGTTTTCTCAATGCTGACAGCCTGCTGCTGATGTGCCTGGTCTCAAGGGATGCGTTAAGGGCACCTGCAATTGCCCTGCTAGCTTCGAGCCCAACGGGACAGGGGCTCCGGTGCCACGTTCCCGAACTCAGCGAGATGCCTTGTTTCACTGTGCCCACCCCAGACCGCCCCAGTCAGTTCCCACCACTGCAGTGGCAACAGGAGGTCACCCAGTGGATGCTGCGGGAGTCGATCGGCGCCCTGCAGCAAGTGCCAGAACTCATCGAGCACTCCCGATATGCTCAGCTGCCCGTCGGGCTGTTGGGCAGGGGCTACTGGCACATGAAGATGGCCGACCTCCTGTTTGCCCGTGCTCTTGACTGCTCTGGTCACGTGCTGTGGCCTGAAGACAGACAGCTTCCAGACCTAGTTGGTGGGTTGGATGGTGGCCACGTTGGGTCTATTACCAATCCTGCATTCGTGCATTCCAGCTGTTGGCTCCTTCCACAGCTGCTGAAGCAGAAATAAGTGATGTTGGTGTCTTATGATCTTTGGGCAGTGAGTAGAATGATACTGACCAAAGGTGAATTGCTGGACCGTCCGTACTTGATGACTGGTGGCAGAACAGCATGGAGCTTGCTCCAAAACACCTGGTGTGGAAAGAGGGTGGCGAGGGCAGTTCAGTGTTTGCCCTGTGCCAAAGTGCAACTGTTGCAGTGCATGATCGTTTGATCATGACAGCACATGACAGCGGCATCTGCCATTGGCTGATAGCAATGTCACTGAGGGTAGGTTTATTCTAATTATGCATTGTCTGTTAATTTTGCTGCCACTGCGGTGTATCCAGGTCACAGGCATCCAGAGGAGGATGAGATGTGGAAAGAAGAGCTGGGCCCCCCTGAGCTGGAGTTCCCAGGTTGCTACAGGTACACATGCTTGTTTGCATGTTAGGCTATCTCGGAGCCTGAAGCGAACTTGATTGTCGAGAAACTCTCATCAACTGTGGTTCTCTATGCATTCCAAATGGTTTCCTGACAGAACTCGTGTTCACACAAGCTGAGCACCCACTCATATGTTGTTTTTCATTATTGTGACTGAATGGAACAGCTGTGTTTCAGGGATTATCAACAGTACACTGCATGACATCTTCACTCCCTGCTAATAGCTGTTCGCACAGGAGAAGCAAGGAGCAGATTTCTTGCCATGCCTTGAATAAAAAGAAACTGTTGTAGACAACAATTACTGATGGAACTGTGACCACCATCTTCTGGCAAGTGCAAGAACAAATAACACAGGGTACAAGTATAAATGACCAGAAGAGTCATAAAAATAGACCAGTAATTCTTCTTGCAGCGATGGGGGTGGTGTTTGCCATGTTCTGGTGAATGTGCTCAAACAGATTGTCTACCCCCAGGTGTGTGTGTGTGGAGCTGACCGTCCACCACATGGTGACGAGTGCGCTACTGAATGCAGCACAGCTGTACGAGCTAGAGGGGTCTGTGCTTGGGGGCTGGGATCCAGCAGGGAGGGCGCTGGGGGTACTATCAAACTTGGTGGAGCGATGGGTCAAAGACGCCACAACAAGGAGCAACAGGTGCAGATTCCAGGAGACATTAGTCATGCAGTGAACAACTCTTTCCTGGTAGGAATCTAGCAAGAAACTTGTCACACTCTTTGTCTTACAAAGGAGCATCGGATGAGCAAATGATTGAGAATGACCATCATGTTTTGCCAGGTTGTGTTTTGGAAAGCAGGCAAGCTGGAAGGGCACAGTGGACATGCTGTGCTTCACTGCTGATTGACAATAGCACTTTGTGAACTTGGACAGAGCAAGATTTCTGCAGGCTGCAGCAACTTGCACTGAGGTTGGAGTGCTCCTAACGATTGAGGGGCAACAGGACAGTCGTGCAGCACAAGGTGTTGAATTGACTCTCACAAGCTGCATCCAACAAAACAACCAACAACAATAACAATAACAGCAATTGCAATTGATTGAATGTGAACGCACATTGTTCAAAATTGACAAGACAGTGCCACTGCAGCTGCAGGAAGAATGCTGGACGCACAGCTCTTCAATGGAATTTGCATGCAAGGAAGCAAGGATGTGCTGAATGGCAGAGCAACCTGCGATCTATTGCTGGTCGTGGTTGGGTTTGATTTTCATGTTGTGGTGAGGCTGGTGTGGTTCTTTTTGTTCCCCAGGACGGCCGATGCATTGCTGCAAAGGGTGTATCAGTGGATATGCAACCCATCATCCGCGATGTACCACCCGGAGATGAAGCGAACCGTGCGGAGCCTATGCCACAAGATGCTGCAGCACTTCCTGGCTGAGCTCCACAAGTTGAATGTCAATGTCGTGAAGGCTGACCTCAAGTCTTTGACAGTGTGCACTGGAAAGCACAACACAAAGTCTGCCATCGAGTGGGTTGATGAACGGCTTGACCTGTGGGGGATAAGGCAGCTGCTGTACCTTCGTCACTAGGCTCAGCACCAGGATCACCTTGCAGTATTTGACACTGACAGTGCTTTTTTCATAGCGTACCAAATATTGATACATTAAATCTGACACCAGTATCTGGGAGGGCCGTTAATCCTGATGCTGTTTGTCGTTGACACTGCTGGATCCACGTTCCATGCCAGAAGGTGTCTAGTGGCTCAATGTGCAAATTCTGCATTCATTGATGCACATCCCTCAACTGTTCCCACCTGCTTCGTTGTCTGGGGTCACAAAAGTTGAAGGGCCACACGTATCTGTGCCTATATACACATTATTCTGTTTGATAGATTGATGCATCATTTGTGCGAATGGCTTCCTGTGGAGATTGTAAGGAATCAGTTCAGTTTGGCACAGCTGTCAGTGTAAGTCAAGCCTGTGGCCTTTGCCCACTGGGCATGGCTGGCTTGCATTTAATTGCTTCGTTGTTGCCCTGTGGGTAAATTTTAAACAGCCTCGCTTCACCCGGGCCAACGAACTGCCCTCAGACCTTGCCGTGTTGTGGGCTCTGAAGACAGAATGAGCTGCAGACCCATTGCACAAGCCAACCTTCGAACGAGACGAATGCACGTAGTCAGTAATGTAGATGCGAACACTGGTCAATCGCCTTGCTGGTGCATGGCAGCACTTTGCCATGTGACAGCAGATGTCAACAAAATGTATTTCAGCTGCCGCGATTCTCAACACAGACAACTTGCGAATGTTATGGGTTGTCTGTTTGGGGCTAAAGGGGCAAAGCTGTAGACCAACATTGTGCATTGAAGCATGCCCGTCGTCTTCTTGAAGATGCAAGGGCATTGTGTCCTCGTTCTCAACAATTGCTGTGCAGTACTCGACATAACACAAATCTGTAGGTGAATGACTGTTGTGGCCTTGCATTCCAGGTACACTCGTTGTGTGGTCGACGCCTTGAAAGGCAAACACATATTCAGCCTGCTGGCCGTCCATCCCAAGATGGCATGGCACTCCCTGCTGTACAAGGACAAGTACAATTGGTGCGGCATCCAGGTGCAAGTTGGCCCTCATTGGAACGTTCTGGAAACGCAGGAGCCTCACAAGCCCAGGTGACTTGGTCAACTGTCTGTGTTGCTGGCACTGGAAGCTGTGGTGCTGCAAATATGTCATTGATTTCCTGTTCCATTTGTGCATTTCTTTACTGCGAAGTTGTAAGAGAATGGCCAGAATCGATGCCTGGCTCACAGGCTTCAAGCAGTCGAACAGTGATTTGTGCTCTTCCTGTCTAGGAGCATACTTCCTCCGTCCCAGAATAATTATCGCCTATGATTTTGCGGCATTATTTCTCCATCATGCCCGCACATTTTTTCAATGAAATTTCGCCTACGGTAATGTTTTTGAGTTGGGAGTACACCATAAAAATTTCAAGTCAATCCATTAAGTATTAAGGTTTTGGCAGTAGTTTGTATCAACGGTCTTTTTACATAGTAAATCTCAATATCTGGGGTGGAAAATAACCCAAATTTATATTCGCCTTGCGCTCAAATAGGTCATGTCTCACTTTTCCTTCTTGAAAATTGATAGTCAAGGGTTTTGAAGTGCAATCTTTTCGATTTTGACATTGTTTTAAAATTCTGAGGCTATCCATATAAAAAATTTAGCCTTTCGAATAGACGACAATTAATCTGGGACGGAGGAAGTAGTATTTTGCTGTGACCCTCAAGGCATTTGTTTTGTTTCATCGCAATATAATTCTGCAGCCAATTTCGCTATTTTCATCTACGTGTTTGCTCTGAATGATCCCATTCTATTGCCTCGGGTTCGGAACAAATTCCTTATTAGCATGGTACATGGTGCTCTGAAACAAAATCCCATTGCATCATAACAATCAAACTGTCACCAGAGCACACAAAACGCCTACCATTGACCTGCACCAGGGATCTGATTTTAGAAAATCACATTGGCAGCTCTGTAAGTTGCACTCATTGGTGTCCCATTTTCCTGTTTCGAACACGTCTACATTACCTTGCATACATGGTGAACTTGTGCACATTCCGTGACTGTCTCATGATGGCCACCAATTTCTTCTTGAGTGTACCTGTGGACTGTGGAGCTTTGGGCTGTTGGGAAGTAAACACATGCACCATGACTGTCGTTGTCAATTATCACCTTAGTTAAGGTGATAATTGACAAGGAACCTTATAAGGTTCGCCTTCAAAGTACCATTTTGGCCCCAAAATGCGACTTAGATTTTGTTTGCCACCTGCCTTGCAAACGTAACAGTATGCTGTACATGTCATCATCATGGTGTGCATCTGACTATATTTACCCTGTTTTGAAAAGAAAATCAGAAAAGTTTCCCAGTTGTCTCAGCGACACAATGTCCGTTGTCATTGCCATCTGCAAACGATTGTCTTCCAGAGTCGCCCTGTGCCGCTGAGTCAGAAAGCACAGCCACGCCTTGTACTTTTGGGAACAGGTGCCACTGGGACCTGAAAGACTACCTGCCAAGGCCTGTGCAGATGGTGCTGGTAGCACGACTATGGGACTTCGTCTTTCTGCCCTGGAAGGCAGTGCAGGTAGAAGATGCAGACAATGGGACGAGCCAAGCAGAGACTCAGGTAATAATCGCCGTTTCAGAAACATGTTCCAAAGGCCACGAATAGCTTTGTCGACAGCACATAGCAAGATAAGCATCTTCACCTTTCAGCTTGCAATTGTCACAACGACGTCCAACAATCTCTTGTTCACTTCCCAAGTGAGCATGTTCTCCACCCCGCCTCTTTGGGCAACAAGCATCGGCAGCCAAACTTGAACAGGAAATGATGTAATGTGGCACAACTGCTAGTTTGGAAATTCAGGGGCCAGGTGCTATGCTGGATCATATAATGGGCTTCAGTGAACAAAGAGAGTTCATCGTCTGGTGCAGCAACATACAATTGTCAGCAGATTTCCATGAACTTGAAATCACATATCGATTGACACTGTTTATTGATGCTGTGACATCTTGCTGCATTGTGTAACGTGATGTGTTGTGTTGTTATGGCGTTGCCTGTTGAAAACGTCGCCCTGCATTGTCACTTGCAAGGCGAAGACGAATACAATTCCCCAAAGGCAATGCCCTTAAATCGACCTCCGTAACGCCACAAGATGGAACAAAATTACGATTTTAGTTTCAACTACAAACTCAGGCAGCTCCTGCCGCTTCTTAGGTGCTGAGGGACGCAAAGGAGGTGGCAGCATCGCAAACCCACTTCCTGACAAAGGAATATGGCTCCGTTGGTGGTTTGCTGAAGAATCTTGTGGATACGGTCCTGAAGATCCACACTAATTGCCCCCAGAATTCATCCATGGCGTTCCTACGTGACCAAGCTGGATGCACGCTCTCTTTGGTAACTTATTGCGATTTTAACACGAATTGAAATTGTTGACGTTGATGTCTTCAACCATCTGCAAAGCTTTTTCAATGGTACTTCGTTTGAAAATGCATGCACGAGTGTGGAGTTCCTTAATATGTGCAGCTATAAAATAGGGACAGCTCAACACATTGGCCAGTCACTCCTATCTGGCCAAATGGCTTCGTGGGATTCAACACAGCGCAGATCTTTCAGTACCAGAACGATCATGCCCCCAGTCGAAGACAATCCCTTGATGCCATAGTGGGCACAGTCCATTCAAACCCACGGTCAATGCAGTTGAAAGCAAATGTGCAAGCCAAAGTGTCAGACTTCAATTTCAATCCTCCAAACATAATGGAACTACGTGGTGAAGGTGCACATCTGCAGTGATGTCGTTTTGGACAACAACATGAAAAGATATTGCTGTGCAATTTTTGGGCAATTTCAAGTTATGAAGTGATCAGTAGGATATCAGAATAAATATGTTGGAATCCGATAATGCGTTCACAAACAGTAGGACATGCAGGTCATCGAAATCCAGCTGCGTTTTCGTCTGCAGGAAGAGTATGGCAGCCCGGCGCTGGCCTTTGCCAGGACGCTGATCCATTTGATGAAACTAGACAAAGAGATTGGCGACACTGTGGAGGGGGTCGAGATGACCGTGCTGCAGGCGATCAAGGAGTCCCCATGGTCCATTAAGGCCGCCTGGAAAGAAGTGTGCCGACCCTACATCCTGGGGGACGTGATCTGCAGGTCAGAAGCCACCTTTCGGCCTAACTTGGTTGTTCACGATCTCCCACATTCAGTAATGCTCTATCTGCAATTCAGCAAACGAACCAATTTCAATAATGGGCACAGATTAGTCAATTTGAATACAGCTACAGCGATGCTCCCACTGTCATGAATGAAACTTTTGGAAGAATTTCGCAATGTCAAGGCAATGCCCTTGCACCCATTGGACTGTTTGGCGCATGCCATCTTGCTGCGACAGCCACTTGATTGGCGCAGTGGTAACACAAGGTACGCCACTGTGGATTTCCGCCCTGCTTTCAGGCACTATTGGATGTATAATCTGAATACATAAGAAGTAATGTTGTTCCTTTCAGTTGCCTTTTGGGGCAACAAAGAACATCTTTTCTTACCTTAGCAAGAGCAGTCAGGGATATACCCAACAGTCAACATTTCTTGAATGCTTGACTAAACCCGTTGTTTGTTAAAAGTGACAACGTCATCTCATGCTAAGCAGCCCTGTGCTCATTTGGTGAAATTCCCTTTGTGATTTCATGCAATTGAATCCCTGCAAATCGCTGTCCAAGAGCACCCTTTAAAAATTTGTACTTGACGAGCAGCCCCAGGAAATTAAGAACCAGTACTTAAGTGGTACTGTGCAACCAGCAATTTAGCTTGAAACAGTCCAATAGGCAAGGGCACAAACATATTTCTCTCACAGCTGTCAGCACAATGTCTACAACTGTTTTCCAACGCTTTGGGGCCACGACAGTGAACCCCGCTTGTAGAATAATACAGAAAATCTTGTGCATGAATTATGCTGTACATGTGTATATAATTCAGCTTACATGTTGAGCATTTCCCAAGAAGAACATACTTTGAAAACTGTTCTCGGCATTGTTTGCCCGCAGGTCTTGCGGCTCCTGTGTGGACTTGGACTTGTGCAGGGACCCGCAGATCAAGCGAGGGGACTGGAAATGCGCCGGCTGCGGGGGCGCCTACGACTTGGAAGAGATCCAGAGCATGCTGGTGGCCAACGTCAGGGTGCAGCATGCGAAGTACCTGCAGCAGGCACTGCACTGTGGGAAGTGCCGGCAGGTGGGAATCGCTGCATGCCTGTGAACATGGCACCCCATAGTATCGACGCAAGAGAAGAGCACCATGAAATGCATGTTGTGGCTCCGCTTTGCCGCGGTTTGCAGTCCGTATATGTGCAAGAAATGTTGCTGCACATGCGTATAAATGTAGCTTGTATGTAAGTTTTGTTGATGTTAAGTGTTGATTAATGCATTGTTCATATTGATAAAACGTCAGTGTAGCTGAGGGAAGACTCTGAGAATTTGAAATTTCGATTTAATTTTGAATTATTTTCAATTTTGCACGCTTAGCCTCAAATGGACGCTGAGGGGTGGAGGGGTCCAGGTCATGGGCGTTGAGAGATTACATAATATTACTAAAGTCGAAATAAGGTGGCAAGATGGACAAGAACGCCATTGATCAGTGTCAGACAGCCCATGAATTGTTCAAAAATCTCCCTTCAGTTTTCAATCTTGGAGGAATTCACTAATATGGATCAATGTGCAGCCTTTGGGGCCGCCCCCATCCCCTATCATGGCATTTAGCATCTCGTTTTTCCACCCAACACAATCGCCACAACTTTGGTTGTTTTTCTGCCAGAAAGCTCGTCAAAGCTGTATTGCACTGTTAGGTAATGTTGTGAGTCATTCTGGCATAGAGATAAGGATCGACTCTCAGAGTGGGACAATAGGGGGGAGGGGGGGGGGGGTTCCGAGCTTAGCGTCCATATGGCACTAAGCACAAAAAATCAAAATAGTGTCTTCCCTAAGCAAATGTATCTGTGCATCTGTGCAAATGTACGTAACTACTTGACTGTGTTTGGCGCCTTCAACACGATCGGAACAGGGTGCGAACTCGTGGAACTGCCGCGCCTCATTTTGGAGCAGCGCCTGAAATTATTGACAACGCTGCGTGCAGGTGTCCGCCGGACCCATGTTCCTCGATTTCTGCAAGGCCTGCGGCTTCGGGGAGCTGAAGCCCACCATCGCGAAGGAGCAGCACATGGAGAAGATGGGCCTGTTGCACAGGATAGCGGATATCCACGATCTCACACTTCTTAAGGACATCACGGAGCTCGCCCTGGGGGCAGGGAGATGACGAAGGATGGGGAGACGGGCGCCGTGGGGGGGCGGCCTTGGGATTTGATGTCCATCATATAGACCACAGCTTCAGCAAATGTGTTGTTAATCTAACACTGCAGCAACATATGCGGTGGCGCATTTGTACCATGGTTCGTTGTATAAAATGCAGGCAACACTTGGGAGAGGCTCAGCCAGGACCCCGCTAAAGATGCACGCACAGTGGGCTGGCTTTCCATGATCACTGCCCCTGCTGTATCTTCTTTCGCTTGCTGCAGTCACGGCACTGGCGTACACAGCACCACACATCACTGAGGCATTCTCAAAATCTTTCGCCTTGCGACATTATGCTCTCTCATTCCGCACCGTCAGAGTTTGTTCTGTATATGATTTCCAAAGTAGAATTGACTCATCGGCCTTCCATTGGAGCTGTACGGCCTCACAAACAAGATGTTGGCCATTGCTGAAGAGTGGGATGAAAACTTCCGCATCAAAAACCTGGACACCAGGAAAGGGACTTTCTGCCCTGCATACTGTTGGACTTGGCATGCTGGGCTCCTGAACGGACAGTCCTTGGGGTGATCTGCAGCCCGCGCTGTGCCTAATGAACGTTCCCTCGCTTCCAGGCCCGATTGACTCAATGCATGTTTTTGTGAAAGCTTCGCGTGTTTGATTAACAAACATGTGCTGCATCTTGATAAACCTTGGCGCCTAAAGTTTGATCTCGGTTGTACGCTCCATCCACGCTGCCACAGCAGCTTGTGTCGCTGAAACAGCACCGTTACCTTGTAGTCGACTTGTCTGGGCTGGCGCGGCCTTGGATATTCCACGTAGAATTTGGCCATTTTTTTCGGCAATTACAAACGGGCCCCAAGAGCGTCACGAGGCCTTTGATGACGCCGGAAAGCGTCATTAGCATTAGCAACCCTGGCAGTATCCCACGTGGACTTGCGTGGACGCACGCAACGACCCTAGCTGTAGTCGCCGACGGCGACGCGCGGCACAGCAGTTGAGTGACCCTCCGCCTGGGCTCCAAGCAAGCACTCTGCTGCGGCCTCGCGCACCCCTCGCGGCGTCGCGGCCGCCATGAACGATCGCGCCATTGAGCGGATTCGGCTCGTTAGCGGTCACGTCGCCTCGCGAGGAGCAAGCGCATCAGGTGTGGATGGAACTTCTCACGGCGGAGCATAGCTCAGCGCACGCGAGGCTAAGCAGGCACGTGTGCCGCCAGGAGTTGTCCGCTCCAGGCGCTGCGTGCCGGCGCAGCTCCCTGGGTGTAAGGTTGACCCTCGCCTGCTTTTGCCTGTGCTGAGCTCACCGTTCTCTGCGCCTTTGGCGGCGAGCGTGCCCAGGGCGAAGCTTTCGCGCCATCGGAAAGGAACTAGGTCGTGAAATGGGCACCCTCCCCTGAGCGCGGACGTTTGCGAGCCTCCTTTCCAATCCGTGAAAGATGATGCGGAGCTCCCGGTGTGCGTCGGGAATGGCGCGCCACAATAGAGCGGCGCCGTGGCAAGGATCACCAGATCCTTATGCGGGCAAATCCTCGGGTCAACCTTCCATACTGCTGATCGACCTCGTTGCCGTTGTTGCGAGCAGAAGATGATGGTTGCGGCCCCCTCGCTGCTGCGCCCGCGTCCTCTTTGATGGCCTCCGCCCTTGGCGCCTCCAATTTTCCGCAGTGTTCCACAGCGGCAGCATTCCCGGAGGCGAAACACGACACGCTGTTCTTCGATGATTTCTTGCAGCCCGAGGAGAAGGCAGTTCGCCACCGCGTCAGGGCTGTCATGGTGAAGATTCTCCTCCTCAATGGGACGGAAACCCTGTGATGCAATGGGCACAGACCTCCAGATTGTGAACCTCTGTACCCTCAAGCTCTTTCCGCCCTAAATGACTTGATGTATCACTTGCAGCGACGAGCAGAACGACCGTCTTGCCATGGCACAGCACTCAACAGAGTTTGGATCATCAGACAGCATCAGTGTTCCTGGCAGTGCATTGTATTGCTTGGTAGTAGGAATGCCCAACCTTCCGCTCTGTGGAAGATGATAAACTACCTACAAGCGCGTTGGGTCTGCACACAGCACAGGGCATTCACGCGGGAAAATTGCACATCGCATTCTATTTTGAGGCTTCTAAACCATCTCACACAGCTGGGAAACTAGAAAATGGGTGGAATGCCAATGGTATGTATGGAATGTCTTCCTCTGTTTACGAATTGTTGACCCACAGCCACTCCAAGCTTGTCTGTGCCTATTGTTGAGGCTCTGGCATGGTGAATGCCTTTAGGTGGTGCATTACTGCATGTTGTGTGCAAATCTCCTTGTTTTCTGCGACTTTTGTATCTATGTGGGTGGCATGGAAATCTCCGAATATTACCACTTGGAGGGAGCCTTGTTCCTGGCATTCTTTTTGGGAAATATCGTTGACGTGCATGGCGTAATGTCTTGTCAAAGTGGGCACTCAACGTTGCTGCTGAGGTGGCGCGTGGAACATCTGAGGGGCATTGGGATGGACGATGAGCATATGACCGCTCTGAACAAACATTGGGTGTGCTCGTGGGTGCTCTTCTACTTGTAGACAAGTGTACATGTATGCTCTGATGACATGGGGTTTGTGGTGCCGTTGCCAAGCAGTGTGAGGCCAGTGTGGGCCGCCATGAATTGGGTGCTGTCTGGTGATCTGAGTTCAGCAGGGACACTTGACACGATCAACGTGTCATATTTCAATGCTGGTTTCCATGACACATGCATTTCCATTTGAGGTGCTGTGTACGTTGGCACATTTTTGGTGTTGAACTATGGGTGGCAACCTACATTATGAAGTGCTGCTAGTGCCCTTGTGGACAGTAATGGGGCCGAGGTGTTCACAGAGAATGCTTGGCCCGGAGTATACCTTACAGCAGCATAACGAAGACAAGTATAAGTCGAAATGCAGAAATGCAGCACTAAGTGACTGATGAAAGTGTGCCCATTGCTTAGGAGCGTGAAGTTGCACCAGTGATTGCTGGATATTGGGAGCGTGCAGAATTCCCATTCCAGCTGGTGCCAAAGTTGAGGGAGATGAATGTTGGGGGCCTCTTCTTCAAGGACCATTGCAGCACGGTACGGGCTAGGATGGGATCCTCGACTGGCCGTACAGTTGTAACCTACTCTCCCTTTAAGAACAGCAGCGACCTCAACACACATATCTCTACCTGCACACGAGGCTGTGTGTTTTCATACATTGCCAGTATCTTGTTGCTTGCACTTCGTCCTTGAAGTCAACAAATGTTTTATGCCCGTGCTGCTGAATTTTAGCCACAAAAGGTGCATCACCTTGAGGAAGGGTCGTTTCTGCTGTGACAGCTGTTTTCTTTGGCACATTGTGTGGGGCCTTGACAGAACGTTACCTTGGGCCCCAACAGAGGAGGAAGGGACTCAAGCGCATGTTTTCAATGTGTGCAACCAATGTCTGGCCTCTGGTGGGACTTTGGTACAGTGCTTCTGAGCTTGTGAGCCCCATCTGACAACAAAACTTGCTGCGTGCAGGGAGTTTCCCTTATGAGTGGCTTCATGGTGAGTACTTATACTGCTCTCACCAGGCTGCATCACTGTTTGTGCTGTGCACATGGCGGCAAAGCAAGTCAGTGGCCTGTCGATGGCTGCGCCCGTGCTCTGATGTGCCTGGCGTAGCTTGCTGAGTGCCTTCTTAGGGATTGTCTTTGGTGATCCGTGTATTTTAATCTGAAAAGAGATCCGCATCAGCTTGAAGCGCACATGATCACTGAAGGCGGTATGGGCCCCATTCGTGTCATGTACGTCCACCAGGGACCCAAGATTCAGGTGTGCTGACATTCACTCATAGAATGCAGAAAAGGTTCATTGGCGCTTTTCCATTTTGACGACAGGGAGCTCTTCAGCTACGCTGTGCTGCAATGATGAAACCATAACAAGAGAGAGTGCAGTTTGGATGCTTTCCATTTAGCCCTTAAAATTCATTTCGCGGCACCCATTTTTAATGAAAAAACGACCCCGACAGAATCGCGATTGTGCAATGGGTCCTTTCCCACTAAACACTATTTAACAGCAGCAATGGAGGGACCCCTTATCCGCAGAAGGCGCATGCACGTCGCAGGAATGGGAAGGATGGCGTTAGATGGATGTTTATTTCAAGGTATAGGTGCCCGCTGTTCATTGTTTAGCCGAACATCGTTGTTGCTACGGGTGCTGTCGTCTTTCACATGATGCAAACACTCAGCACTTGACATCATTGCGATTGGTGCACAGGCAGTGGTTGAGATGGCAAGAGTGGACACAAGCATTTCAACTTTCCTCATGGTGCATGGCATGTTGGCGGGAATCACAATCGCCCTCTTCGTGAGTGCACTGCTAGCTCGCTGATGGGATTGCCAATGTTGCACATTTATCCATGCGTCAATTTAGTGGTTGTGCACTGTGTTTGTTCACGTAAATTGCTTGAACGATAGAATTGCCATGGGGACGTGCAGCTGGCATGTCTTCAGCACTTTCTTCTTTTTAGATGTGTGTTGCTCCTCAGTTTTAAGATGACATGACGGGCACTTCGCACGCCGAAATTGCTGGTGCAATTAGCTGTTGCAGTACTCCCAAAACACCTGTCAGCAGAGAAGAGACAGTCAAAATTCATGGCAATCGGGCAGAAACTTCAGATGGGGCATGGAAACGAGGTCATGCTCGCTTTTGACTTCTCAGTCACTCATCTCCTGCCTGAACTGTGTTGAGCCTGCACGGGGGGGGGTTGGCTTGTGAGCCTGAACTTCCGGTTCTGATAATGTGCTGCAAACTTCTCATGCCAGGGCTCTGAGGAGCAGAAACGAGAGTTGGTGCCGAAAATGTCCAACTTGGACCTGATTGGGTGCTGGGCCCTCACGGAGCCAGACCAGGGAAGCGACGCCTCCGCTCTCACCACCATGGCAACACGGGTCCCGGGTGGATGGCAACTCAACGGTCGGAAACGGTGGATTGGGAACGCGACGTTTGCCGATGTGGCTGTGATATGGGCAAGGAATGCTGAGAGTGGCCAGGTACGCTTGGCGTGGATGGGGGGGCGCCCCTCGCCTCACATGGTTTTCTTTTGCATATAGACGGAAGGGAAGAAAACCTCTGGCCGCCTTCAGCACGAATTGCTCGGTTGCAATTCATAACGGTGCGCAGACTTTGCTCAGCAAACGTGGCGCCTGCATTGACGGTAGCGGGAGAATCTGTGGGGCTCCTGTGGCCCATGGCATGGCCCTGTGCCAAGAGTGCATTGCGTGAAACTCTTGGCGACCAACTGTCCTTCTCCCGATCAATGCGGTGTCTGGCAGTTTTTTGGAGAGCTTTGTTTGTACCTGCGCTGCTCAGGTATGCTCCGCGATGCCAGTGGTCGCGGGGTGTTGTTTTTTGGATGTCATCGTGCATGAAATGGTCCCTCTTGGTTTTCAGTGGTCCGGCTTGTGTTGTGCTGTCACTGCAGGTCAATGCCTTCCTGGTTCGAAAAGGCACGCCAGGCTACCACACAAAGAAGATCGAGAACAAAATAGCCCTCCGCTGTGTTCAGAATGCCGACATACACCTTGACAACGTGTTTGTCCCCGACTCTGCAAGGTTGCCAGGGGTCCACTCGTTCAGGTAAGCTCAATTTGCCAATTAGCCAATGAACAATGAACTAATCAATCAATCACGGTCCATCATCCATATAACGTGAAATGCCTTAAGCTTCTCAATTATTTTTCCAAGTTAACGTCGAAATACTGCGTAGCAGGTTGTAACATTGGATAATTGTTATTTGCTTCAAGCAAAATTCCAGCTCCAACTGGTGTAAACTCGTGCTGAAAATTTTGCGTAGAGGAGATTCCTTGCTAGCTTGTCTCACTCTCTACACAGCCCTGCTATGTCGCGCTGGTGGCTTACACCTGGCCACAGAACAGCAGTGCGATCCGCGTGCACCAAAAAAAACCAAAAAAAAAAAAAACTGCGCGACACACCCCTGTGTCCTCCCTTTGCTCCTGAGCAGGCAGAGAGTTGTCGCACTAAGTCCATGAAATACATGCGAAGGTGTGCCGGGATGCCCCTCATGCACACTTGTTTCCTGTCGCTGTGAAAGCTGAGATGTAGATGAGCCGCACTGGACCATCTTTGGTGGCCTTCATTGCTCTCCCGATGGAACCCAATTGTCCAGTTTGTGAGCGCTGCGCCGAGCTCGAATCACGTGCACCCGGTGCCTAATTGGCCGTGTTGACTCCTCAGGGAGACCGGCAAGATCTTGGCAATCTCTCGAATCGCCGTCGGCTGGCAGCCCGTGGGGATTGCTGCGGGCGTGTACGACATGTGCCTTCGCTACCTCAAACAGAGGCGGCAGTTCGGAACGCAGCTGGCCTCCTTCCAACTCGCCCAGGAGAAGCTGTCCCGAATGTTGGGGAACATCCAGGTGGGGGGGACAACGTACTTTAGCTCCTGCTTTCGCGGGTGCCGCGCCGCGAACAGGACGCCCGTGACGCGTTGCTCCCGTCGATGCCATCGAAGAAATGCTGACGCAGGCTTGTCCCATGCCAGGCCATGTGGCTGATGTCCTGGCGCCTGACCAAGCTGCAAGAGGAGGGCCGGATGACGCACGGGACGGCCAGCATGGTCAAGGCCTGGAACACGCTGCGCTGCCGAGAGACTGTGGCGCTGGGACGCGAGCTCCTGGGAGGCAACGGCATCGTCACCGACTTCCACGTTGCCAAGGCCTTCTGCGACTTGGAGGCCATTTACACGTACGAGGGGACGTACGACATCAACGCACTCGTGGCGGCCAGGGAGGCGACAGGTATCTCGGCCGTCAAAGCTGCAGCCCGATGATTCAAGGCCATCATGCGGCAGAGCACCGGGCAACTATCGCGTCGCGCGGATTTCTGCTGGACGGAACTGGCTGCTCATTTGCCTGAAGTTTTCCCTTTGTGGCTTTTGTTGCGCAAGCTCGTTCCAACGGGAGCACGAGGTGGCAGTCATTTCTTGTCTACCTTTCTCATGTAATGACCCAATCCTTTGCGCCCTCCGCAGTTACGTTCTCTCCTTGCCTTTCAGAGCGCCTTTTACTCTAAGTGTATCCCCGCGACGTCTGCAGTGCTGGTGGCCACGCAACGCAGTGTGTGCCCTGGAGATGTGTCCTGCCCATTTCTGAACGGCAGCGCTGCTCAACAGGAAATGACCATGCGCGAGCGGTGGTTGTGGCCACAGCGATGGACTTGTTTTGCGTCGGGCCGTGTCGACCGCTCATGGAGCGGCTGGTCTTGCCCGCATGTCCTGTGGCCTTCTGAACAGATTCCGCTTTGCTTATGCTTCTTGCAAAGGCCCTCTAACGGTGGATAAACCAACGCGAACAGCAAAGGATTCCGAACATAAAGCGTGTATGGAAAGACTACCGCCATCGCATGTGTTAAGAAAGTCCTATCGTTCGGGGAAAAATATTCCCCAATGGTTCACTGAAGGGATAGCGAAGAACTTAGTGTAGGAAATCAATCCGAGCAGTCTCCAAATGTCCATCGAGTGTTCATGAGGAATCCGGCTCACGAGATGGGCCCCTAAATAGGACAGTCGTATCCGTTTGAGCCCAGAACACAGGTCTTGAAAAGGACCTTTTCAGAACCTAGTTGTAAAATTTGGGTATCCGACATGGACAGAACACGTAGCCGCTGAAGTACAACCCTTGGACCGGTGTGAGTAGCATCAAGATAGTGTGTGCGCTACTTTATGCAGCGTAGCGCCAAGATAGAATAATGGTAAGATGCGGTTGGAAAATTTGCGGGTGTTGGAAGCAGGCTTGTTATTCACGTTTACAAATACACGCTGTGTGTTACGCCGTAGACAACAGGCCTAGTTGGAAGAATTCCAATGTGTAAGTATGCAAAATTTTCAGCAGTAGAAACGTCCCAAGAATAAAAATTGTAACATGTCCGGAGCTGCTGCCAAGAACGAGATTTCCATGTCCGAAAACTGCGATCTTTCCGTTTGTCCTGATTCAAGGATGCCGGGGTACACGCACAGATCCACGCATTCGTGGGAGATTGTATCCCATGAGAAGTTGTCGAGCAGAGTTGCAGAGGCTCTCGAAACAACAGCAACACTACTGCTGCGTTTCAGTCTAGGAGCTGACTCTCCTTGACGCACAATTTGTCCCTTTGGCACGGGCCGGCGATCAAACCACCTCGGCCAGGCTAGCTGCGGACGTGAAGGCCCTTTGCGAAGCTTCGGGTGCAAGCGCACCTTATCGTGCATCGCTCTGGTACGTAGTGCAGCACCGCCTGCTCGCAGCCCATTGTGAACATTCGCAGTGAGCTTCGCAGCGGCTGTGCTGAACTACCAACTGGAACGATTGCAGGATACTGTGTGATTCGGCTGGCCGACAGATACCATGATGCGGGCAGAGTCTTGAGACAACCATTAAAAACAACGGCAAAGGACGCAATCGTAAGCAACGTATGCTGCAGGAATTTCCGAGCTCCACGTACACCTGACACTGCACACTGCCACCTGACGGCACAGGACGCAATTGCAAGCAATGTTTTCTGCAGGAAGTTTGGGCTCCACGTACGCCCCGCACTGTACAATGCCATCGGGCATGTCCGATGCATAGCAAATCGGAAGATCCACACTCCGCAGAAGGCTCGGTGCCACCCGCGGTCTCACCAGCGTTGTCACTGCTGTTTCCTGCCGCACTGCATAAGCTCCTGGCGAATGTGTGTCTGTCGGCGAGAGAGACCTGGCCAGCAATATGGTGCAGAGAGTATGTTGTAGCGAGAGTTGCGCCACGAAAGCCCACAGCCAGATTGTATCTGCAAGTAGTTGGGAGCGCAATTGGATCACACATAATGTTGCCCTTATCAAGGTGCGCAGCTGATTGGAAGGCAGGCAACCGACGAGCTGGGTACGGAAACAATGTCACTCTAGCCAAGGGGTGCGAGCACCACGGAGCCCGCTGTCTGTCCCCAGTCTGGGGACTCTTGGTGTATCGCCTGTGGGCACAGAAGTGGGTTTGCAGCCTTCCCGCTTTGGGGCCATGGCTCACATGCGTCCAAACGCGTCAGACACCACACACACGTCACGTTGTCGATGCTTCGTGGCCACGGGGAAAGCCACATTTCAACTGTGACAGCCAACCTTCCATCAGAAAACGCAGTATCGTCGCCTACCGAAGCACCCTGTGGCCCTTCGTTTTCTGCAAAACAAAGCAGCCCACGTTCGCAGCCACCGGAAATAACTCTGGGGATTGAACAGCAGCTTGTCCGAACAATAGCGCGCCACACCTCCCTGCACCCAAATGCGCTTCCAAGCATCGAACTTCAAACAGTGATGCGCAAACAACAGATCATGAGGTGGGGCAAATTCACGCACATGCCCCCTGCTGTACATCGCAGTCCTAGCCTTCTACCAAGTCGTCACGCATATAGTGGGTCGGTACACACCGATGCATGGCCATGAATCTCGAGCAGGCCCTTTCACGCAGCAAGGCAGCCAATGTATTTCGCTATACATCAGGCAATAATGGCCACCCAGTAGTCGGCAATCGAGGTACTACACGGCTTCCTGGGCACCAGTCCATTTCCCAGTTGGATTTGATACCCAGCATAGCCTTCATGGCCTGAATCCGGGACTCCCCGCATGCAGCATTGCACCTGCAGGTTTGTGTGCAGGGCAGCAATGTCCAGGCCGCCTTGTAAAGTGCAGAGAATGCGTGCCGCGCTGGCAGCATCTGGGGAGACTCTTGAAATGGTTTGCGTTGGGACACTCGACTGGCTGCTGTCACAGGCAAGTCCCGCCATGCAAACCCAGCACATCAAAGGTGTGCAAGTCGTGCAGATCCTATCAATATTATGGCCCTGCAGCTTATCAGATCCGCCCTCAATTGCTAGGGAACTGGCAAGAAGAGGGACCAAATGCGCCTCCACAGCCTGGACCCATCCTGATGAGCATGTGCGACATCTGCACATTGCTGGGCAGGTCCCTTGCCACAATCAGGTGTCGCCTAGTCTGAACGACCGGCCAGTAAACGATCCCTTGACCGGTGCTGACCCATCCTGCTGGCTTTCTTGACCAGTGTCGCCCCTGAAAAAACACGTACACAAGTGTACTGCATGCATATCTGAACGACATACATCCAAGCCTAGATGCCATCCAGCACGCACAGAACTTGGCAGTGGTGTAAAGACAGCACGCAATTCAGCATTCTTACCACACACAATTGGATCAACTACGTCAACCAGGCATGCTGCTGGGATGAGAGGGGCCGAGAATGGGAAATAACAATAGGAAGCAGTGGATATGATTCGATGACGCATCAGGCAACAACTTTACGATTGTGCTTAGCAGCGCTGCTTCATGTTGTGAGAGAACAGCAAAGAGGCAGCAAGGATGACAGCCTGCACCAGGTTGTCTTGCAGTCGATTCTGTTTTCATACTGGTGGATCTGAAGCAGACTGGAGCACAATGATGTGGAGCAAGCCAGAGCAAGTCACACATTGCATCTTTGACTCTTTCAATTTAATAAACAGAACAGCTGCACACAGGGGCATCCAGACCCTCGACTTTCATCAACACCAAATTCCACACGATCCCAAGAGATATGAATAGTTGAAGCCAATTACGGTAACAGAAGCCACTCGGTATTGAGCTTTGGCTTCTGAGCAGCCCATCCCCCTCATCCCACTTCCACCCCTACCCCAAACAGCAATACACTTCAAATACACTGAACAAGTTCACTGGAGATGCACACACACCACATTCATACTCACCTTCTTGGTGGCTGCTCTTGCATGTACTGCTGCATGAACTGTTCAACGGCAGGGGGACCTGTCCTTTGCTGTGCAGGTGGCTGACGGGCTCGGTTGTTCTTCATAACAAAATCTGTGGGGCAAACAAAGCATCAAGCAACTAGTGGCTGCTGCAGCTAACCAAAATATATCATGTGTCATTACCAAATTGTACTGTTGGTATGTCTCTTTCCCATGCATGTGGATCTCAAAGGAGGCCACACCAGATTGATGGGCTTTTCCTTCAAAGGTGATAATATTGACTTTTGGAACATCCAAACATTGTAAGGTACGAATATATCCAGGTGTGTTCTCCAAAATGGACAGTTGCTGGCAGCGCTGTTTCAGGGACTGCACTCCCAGATTCCACAAAATGTTAAGCAGGTTCAACCACAAAGGGCCCAGGGAGCCGTTGACAAGCAGTGCCAGTGGAATCCAACTTATGGGGACCATAACAACAAAGGTGGCATTGTGCACATATCAATTCCAAAAGCTTCCGATCATGTGATTTTTTGAATCCAAAGGAATTGCAGCAATTGTGCACCATTTCTAAATGGGTACTATGTGATGTTGCGATTGATATTTGCAGTGTTTTGATACAACTTTTCTGGGCTATTGGTTGCTGTCATCATTGCATTCGATCCCCCACATGCTGCAACACTAGTACACAATTGATTTCCAGGCAGGCAGCTTGCGGGACAGTGACATGAGGCCCTGGTACATTGATCCACCACTCAAGAGACGATTGGGCTTGAAAGGCACAGCAACTGGCAGTCACTGTGCATGACTGGTTGACAGCAGAAGTGCTCGTAGTGATAGATGGAAAGGCACACTTATGAAGCAGGCAACATGTGATCAGTATATTCCAATTGCCAGCATGCCCCTGACCTCTGCTGCCAAGTTGCCATGCAATGGCCATCTTAATTGATTCATGAATCAGTCATACAGCAACAAGAATGCAAAATCTAAACATCTGCCCAGTGACACTTACACAAAAATGCGCCCAACAGGAGACTCCTCCTGAAACAACAGAGCAGGCAGCATTCCAGTCAGTGCCTGCACAGAGACTCGGTGGTACAAGAATCTGTGGATGGCTGTAAGCATGTTGCAAGTAACGCAACTGCCAGGGCATGGGTTTGCAAGTTGTAGTGCTGGAAAGGCCAGGCTCCCATACACCTGGAAGTTGGAACTCAAGCTGCAGCCGCAAAACCAGGAAATTACATGCAGCTCCTTGGTATCTGAAAAAAATACACGCGCACAGTCACAACACAATCATACAGCACTGCTGTCCTGCAACACCACCATGCAAAAATGCCTGTGGCTTTGCAACAATTGCCTTTGAACTCATCCGCATCAAGGCCCCCTCCCCCACTCCCCCACCCCGCCTCCCACCCCCTCCTCCTTTGGCTCACCATCCGAACAACATAAAGCCGACAGTGATACCCAGGAGCAGCATGGCAGATATTCTGTGGCCGAAGAGCTCAATGTCAGCAAAAGGCCCCTGCCTGCCAGGTGGCTGACCTCCTCTGAACACCACACAATCAAAATGAGATCCTTGCTGCTGGCACCTTGCCAGACGATCCTGAGTCCACTGTGGAGTGATGGACACAACTGGGGCCTTTCAGGCCACGAGCTTCTTGAAAGCCACAGTTTGGAGTGAAAAGAAGAACAGCAGCTGGTGAGGCGTGCGCACCTCTGGGACGCGCCATCCCAGCCAGGGCTCGGCCGCCCAGGGCCTCCGCGCGGCCTCCGCGCGTCCGCGGTCGTCGACTCGCCTCCCTGGGTCGCTGAGTCGGCAGGCCTGCACAAAGACGAGAACGTTTCGACGCATTCTATGTCAGCAACAATCTGACCCACCAGCAGAAACAGCCGAGACGAGCCGCTGCTATCGCGCTTCATCCTCCCAGCTTCCCCGGGCTGCCCAGGACAGACATGGCAACCTCTCCAAAACCGGGTCCCCCCCGGACCTGGCACTGCGCGTCGCGAGGTGCCGGACGGGGCTGGCGCCACTTTGGGGAGCACATATGCCATTGGGGAGCACCGCCAATCCCCACAAGGCACCCTGCAAGGCGCAGCGGCCCCACTACGTCCTCCGAAGGCAACATAACGCAAGGTGCTCATCCCAAACACCTGCGGCTCATCCGCCCGAAAGACCCTTTGTCCGCCCTCCCCCGCCCCCCACTTCGTGCTGCTTGCGATGTGTGCTCCTCACCACGCATGGGAGACTCTATATCATCGTTTCAAAGCATGGAACAGACTCTCGCATGCCTTGCTTGGGAGGGGCTGCCCTTTGTATGACGGCTTCCTTTCTCTCCTTGCAACAAATCTTAACCCACCCCCACCCCCCTGGAAAAGAGCATCGCATACAATTGCTTAGGACGGTGTGCCCTTTGTCTGACCTGCTCCTTGTCCTCTTTGTAACAACTCCTAACCCCCACCCACCCCAACCCCCCACGCCAGCGCAAATGCATCTCCGGCCCAGGCAAACCTTCGGAAGCCTCGGAGGCGAGGGTCGTCATCTGCGCACAGCAGGGCAGCGACAAACCTCATCACGTCGCAGCAGAGAAGGTCCACGCCGCGGCCAGAGATGCGCCACTCGGGGTGTGCGCCGACGGCCGCCGGGCCCCACCTTGCACGATCTCGCCGTCGATGATGCGCACCATGGCGTCGCGCCTCGCGACGGCGTCCGGGGCCAAAACTGCGGGCACCGATGCCGAACCGCGTTGGGCCCAAGGCGCCTTCAACAGGAAATGAAAGACTGCGAATGAGAATATGGGGGGGATTCCTGCGCTTGCGTGGTGTGGCGCCGAGCCTCGAGCCACCGCAGGAATGGCGTCCGAATGGCGAATCTTCCGGCAATGAACCGGTCAGGCACGAAAATGGACGCTCGCCCGTCCGAGCTGAACTCGACGGCGAAGTACACCCGCAATGGGCGTCTGTCAGCGCGGCATGTTCACAGATCAGCGGGGTACAATCCCCGAAAGACACAAAAGGAACAGCGAGGTGGGCCCAAGGTTCGCGTGTCCGTTACAAGCAAGGTGGCGTGTCCATAAATACCCCAGGCCGCTTGGTGCGGCACCGGTACCGTGCACCTGCGAAAGGTCGCATCAAATCCATACACGGTACCTCTGCACCTCGCCCTTGGGTGCGCCACCCACGCCTTAACATACTGAATGTCCCGGTCTATGTACTAGCCAGCGAAACCCAGGGTTCCGAACCCGTTCTAAGCCATTGGGTGCGTTACCAAGCCCCAAAGCACAGGTACCGCCCATTAAACTACTGACCCGAGTTAGCCGACCGAACCGTTTGTACCGCCTTCATCCCGTAGAGTCACACCGCACAAAATGCTGCCACACCCATCACCCTAGCCACGGCACCAACCGCTGAATCCCCACGCCGCGCCACAGCACAGGGTGTGGCACCCGTAGTAGTCGGCCACCTTTTAGTACTAGAACTCGTACGGGTGCGGCGCTCACCATACTTCGCCCTCCTAAAACAAGCTTTCGTGCAAAATGTCGGTAAGGGGGCCATAAAAAACAACAAAACGTGCATTTTGCGCACTAGCAAAATGCAAGAAAAAGGCCATATCAATAGGGATGCACACAAACGTGCCATTTTTCGGGGCCCACACGCGTGGGAAAACCACAATGTTGCGCACAAAAAGAATGGGTATGAAGCCGGTCTGGGACGCCTGCAGCCAACCACAATCAATGCATGCGACCCACAGGCTGTGGGTGCAGCATGGCTTCGCACTAACAATTACAACTGGCGATGCACACTATGGAAATCACAAGCCGCTAGTTATAGAAGTGGCCCCTCCCCTGTCTAGCACATTTCATCCCAACGCTCCAGCTCCGCCTGGAGACGCCGTTTGTACTGGGGGTGGATGCACCCCCTCCCAACCCCATTGGCCTCCAACCAAACATTGCAAATGACGTTGTCGGAGGACACCTCCCCCTGTATTTGCCGCCCTTCCACCCAGCGCCCATTCAGCTGGGCATCGTCCGCGGCGTCAAAAAGGAGGGTCCCCAAGTTGTAGGGGGGTCGGGGCTGGAACTCGCTCTCGTAGTACGCGACTGTGAATACTTTCTTCACCGCTGAATCACACCCCTCCGCGGCCCTGGCCCCCTTGACAAGGGCAATGTCGAAGCGCCGGCCCCATTCCTTGGCATCGGCGTCGGACATGGCGATGGCCACCTGGTGGCCGGCTGCTATGTCTCGCGCGGCGTCAAAGGGGACATACTCTCTGTCGTTTGGGAGAGCAGAGAGGTGTCCAAATAGCAGGGGGCGCTCCCCGGGCACCGGGCCAATGTCCCTGCGGGCGACACCGCCAGTGTGATGGTGAGGCAACCACGGGGAGGGGGGGGGGGGAGGGGCAAGCAAGTGGAATCACCGCGGGCGGACGGGATGTTGCACACGGCGGCGCGCGTACCTTGCGATGGGTGGAGCGGGGGCGTTGGAGGCGCTGCTGGGCGCAGTGGAGGGGGTGGCCAGCGCGGCGGGTGACAAGCTGTCCAGCCGAAGTGCGGCCCCCTCGTCGATGGCGAACGTGGGTCTGCCACTCCCGTCGAGAGGGAATGTGCGCTCGTGTGAGGCAATGAAGCCCTCCCACCAGCGCACGGCCTTGGCCATCCGGTGGAGCTTGCGGCGTTTGATGTCCTCTGCGGCGGCGGGGTCCCCACACACGTCAAGTTGACGCCTCCACCTGTCAATCTTCCCGATGACCCTCTTCTTGACGTCCTCAAAGTCCTGAAGTGCTGCCCGTGGCTCCCAGCGGAGGTCGGCGAACCGCGGTGCGGGCTTCCCCGGGACGAACACCGGCCATCCCCGGCCGTCGGGCGTGCCCACCCACGGGCTGTCCTCCCTGTCGTGTTCGCGGGCGAACACGACGGGCTCCCCCCCCTCCAGGACGAACTTGAAGGAGTGGAAGCACCTGCCCAAAGGATGACACGCAGCAATGAAGCAGTGTGGAGCCGGGGAGGCGTCATTGCGGCGGGCGCCGTCCGCCGGCGGACCAGGCGGCAGGCGGCACACCGGCATATACCGTGGGGTGTACAACCAAAACGCTGTGGGAAACGGCGCGGGTTTGCGCACGTCGTGCGCGCGAACCTTAGATGCCTGACAGCAAACTTGGGAAGGCAGCGGACACAAACCACACCCTTGACCAGGAGAAGGGAAGGGTCGTGTGGAGGACACGTCCAAGGGCAGGCGCACAGGTCCTCTCTAGCAGGCGAGCCGCTCATTGCCTGCGAGTAGTAGCGAGGAGGACACGGCGAAAGGGTGAAGCCGCTGCTTGCAATCAAGGCCGAGGGTGGCCAGCCGGGAAGAAAGTGACGCCGTACGAGCTGGATCGGGGGTGTGGAAGAAAGCGAGGCGCACGCCGAGGCAGCAACTCCGCATCCGCGCGCGCGGCGCGCGCGAACGCACGCCAGCCCCACGCACGGCGAGGGACGGCCAGCAGAGGTCGCACGGGTCGGCCACTGCAAGCGCACCTCTTGTTGTCCCGTCCCGTTCCGAGGCCTCTGAAGGTGTGCATCCGGACGCCCGCGTCCCCGTCCTCGCCGTCCTCATCCTCCTCCTCGACGCCCCGCCGGCGATCGCGCTTGTACCTCAGGAGGCGCCGGAAGTCGGCGACGCGGTCCACCCGCGTGTTCACCTTACGCGAGCTCCCCACGCTCGCGTGATCCCCCCACGCCCGGTGCGCAACGCCCATCAGGTCCTCCAGGCAGAGCGCCCCCTCGCGGTTGATGGCGGAGGCCACGAGGCTGAACGTGGCGTCTATCTCCTGGTGCGTGTGGCCCACAGGCAGGAAGAAGACGCGCACCTCCTTGAACACCCCCTCCGCCACCAGCATGGCGCAGAACCCGAGGAGGTAATGGTTCTTGTTGTCCTTCGCCGTGTTGTCCATTTGCAGGTGCAGGACGGGGGGCAGGCAGGGGCGGCGGGGCAGCAGCTCCGGGGCGGCGGCGTCGCAGCGGGCCACGTCTCTGATCATCTTGCAGAGGCACGTAAGCGTGAGGTTGCTGGACGCCGCCCATTCCGGGAACGACCAGAAGCCCCACCACCCGTGGCCATAGGCGATCCCGCCCATCAGCTTGGTGGTGAGGGGCAGGCCCACCTCGTCCGCCTTGCTTTTGGCCATTTCGTGCGGGATCGCCGTTTTGGCTTGGTCCATGCCGTCGATATTCAGGTACAGGACCTCCTCGGGGTGGTCCAGGGCGTGCCGCCTCCTTTCCTCCATCGCCCTCCTCGCCGCGGCCACGTACGCCTTGTGCTTGTGGAGTATCCGCTGGGCGGCGTCCCTGGCCGGCCCCGTGGCGAGGTTGGTGGTCTCCCTCAGCCTCACGCACGTGTCGCACTTGGCGAAGGGCTGGTGCCGGTACGTGCGCACC